AGCAGCCGGGATTCCCAGGCACAGCCCAGCAAGGTCTCCCTGCCCTGGGCTGCTTCCCCCGAACACAGGCTGGGCGCCTTCACTTCTGTTTTGTGGTGGGTTTCAGAAGTAGCAGAAAGTGCAGTCACTCTTGCTTTCATGTGGAAAGATGCTTCCCTAACCCAGCTCGTCTTTGTAATTGGTTTTGTTTTTTGTTATTTTTGTTTGTTTGAGACAGGGTCTCGCTCTGTAGTTTAGACTGGCCTCACAGCGATTCTCCTGCCTCCACCTCCCGAGTGCTGGGATACAGGTGTGCACTACCATACTGGCTAAGGAGGTTTTTCTGACTGTATGAAATGAAATCTTCCCAAGAAACAAGCCAGGATAGTGGACATCTTGATACTTTTATTTATCTTTGATAGCAAATCAGTCTTTCTTTCTTTCTTTCTTTTTTTTTTTTTGTTGTTGTTGTTGTTGTTGGTTTTGGTTTTTGGTTTTTCTCTGGTACCGGGAATCGAACTCACAACCTTGCACTTGCCAGGCAGGCGCTGTGCTGCTGAGCTAAATCCCCAGCCCATCTTTCTTTTGTACCCCAGGCTGCCTCAGTCCTGCCTCAGCCTCCCAAGTGCTGGGATTAGAGATGTGAGCCAGCATGTTATTTTTTTCTGGAAGGAATTATGGGCTTCTGTGCTTGTTTCTAAATTAAGCCACAGACTTCCTTTCTGCTTGTGATGAGCAAGATCTGTTCAGGAAACCTGTTCCGGTTACAGCTTCTGCACAAGGGGAGTAAATGGCCCTGGAAGTGGAGCGAAGGCCACGCTGTCCCCCAGATCACATGGGGGGAGGAGCTCCGGCTCTTGCCACCGAGGGCAGGAACAGGAGTGTGACATGCAGCTCTCCACTCTGCTGGGCCTCACTCCCAGGGGACCGGCACGCTGTGTTCGGGTGGGCCAGGCTGCTCCTGTGTTTCTTACTTTATAAAACAGAGTCTGAAGGGAGTTTATAAAATTAATACCAGTTTTGGGCCGGGCATGGTGGCGCACACTTGTAATCTCAGCACTTGGGAGGCTGAGGGAGGAGGATCGTTGCAAGTTTGAGACCAGCCTGGGCTACAAAGGGAGCTCAAGGCCAGCCTGAACTGCACAGCGAGACCCTGTCTCAAAAAGACAAAAAAAAAACAAAGACGCAAATTGGCTTTCTACCGAGATGGGAAGGAAGAGAAAGCAAGCGAGTGGTGCAGAGTAAGGCATCCGTCTGAGAGTGTGGCCGAGGCCGCTGGGCCCTCTGTAGAGGCCGAGCCCACACGCTGCTCGCTCTTGTGTGGAGGTTGGGGGCTGAGCTAGGCCTTCGCCCTGAGCTTACATCCCCGGCTTTTTTTAACAGTTTCGAGACAAGGTCTTCGAGTTACCGGGTTAGGCTCAGACTTGCAGTCTTCCTGCCTCAGCCTCCCGGTAGATGAAAATGGACTCTTCCAGTGCCAGGGCCTGTGGCAGCCTTTTCACTGTGCCATAGCCACAGGCAGGGGCTGCTGCCAGGTGCCGCTCCATCCTTCCTGGGCAGCCTTGGTCCCCTGTCCCCGGTCCTTGTCACTCTCCGGTCTTGGTATCTTTCTCCCCGTCTCTCATTTTTTCTTCATCTCTCACTGTAACTTAGCTCACGGTGTATGCTGTTTTGCTGTCATTTCACTCTTTACTTCAAAAGTGGTGTCTTGGGCTGCGGATAGCGCTCAGCGGCACAAGCGCCTGCCTGGCAAGTGCAAGGTCCTGAGTTTGATTCCCAGTACCAAAAAAAAAAAAAGTGGTGTCTTTGTAGGGCGTCCCCCGAGGACAGTGGGGCTGGGACCGTGTGGGTTCTGCTCCCGCTGCAGGGCTTGGCCCTGACTGTTCTCGCGGGCCGCATCACTGGTGCTGGGTGTCTGGGAGGACACAGTGCTGGCTTCCGCCCACACGGGAAGCTGTTCCACACCCGGGCAGGTGCGGTCACCAGGAAGCACTGTCCCCCAGGTGCTTGGGTGGCCCTCGCACCCGTTCCCAGGGCACAGGCGACGCTCAGGCATCGGCCTCTCTCCCCTTGTTGTCCAGCCTTCACCCGAGGAACAGAATTGTTTTGTCTGCCGGGGAAACCAGTTGTTTGACAGCCTGTGTTTTTCCACATTTAGCAACCAGCATTTACACAATAGATTTTCGTGTGTAACAGCATACCCTCAACTGTGGTAATTAAAATCATCTTGAGTAGATGTCGTTATACTTAATTATGGATTTTATGCTCTAGTCATTGCGAGTTTGTTATACACTGATGTTTATAAGACTTGTTCTTGGCTAAATGTAGATGCTCGGAAGTTATTGTTTTGGCTTTCTTTTTTAAAAAGACCCATATAATTATGGTTTTTATATCTTGTGATAAAATTCATTTACCACTGCCACCGCGTCAGGTTGGTAACATAAAGATGGAGGTTGATGAGCTGTGGGGGGCAGAAGGCACGTCCTGGAGACATGTGGTTGCCGAGCTCACTGCTGGGCAGGAGGGCGGGGAGATGGACCACTTAAGACTGCGTCCAGAACATGTAAACCACACCATGACCCAGGATAAGACGTGTGTCTGCTTCCCAAGTGGGATTGCCATGAGGGGGGATGTTCGCACGCCAGTCAGCATAAAAAAAGATGTTCAGCATCACTGGCTTTGGGGAGACGCAGATTCAAACCAGGATCACACCTGCCGCCACAGCTAACGTGGAAACAGTGACCGTGCCGCCTTGTGCTGAGGACGCCCCACCACCGGCCGCAGCCTCGTGCGTCATGTACAGTGTACAACGGCACAGCAGTTCTGGACATCGGTTTGGCAGTGTCCGGTTCCCAGGACACTGGGAACTGCGAGGCAGTTCCTGGGAGGCAGCCTGGCAGGCTCTCCTAGGCAGCATGCTAGGGAAACAGGCTCCTTGTCACACAGAGACCTGCGTGTGGATGCCTAGAATTGCGGCTCTGCTTGTAGTAGCCGGGAACTGGAAGCAGCTTAGCTGCTGCTCACCAAGCGAATCGTTCCCCGCACAGTGGCACATCCACACCGGGAGTACTACACAGCAGTGAAAAGCAGGGAGTGCGCTGTTGGTACCCACAACACGTGAGGGAAGTATGCTCCGGCAAAAAGGCAGTCTCAAGAGGCTGTGCACTGCAGAGTTCCACTTCTTACATTTCTCCGTGAAATGTCGGAAACTTCAGAATCGGGGAACAGAGGGGTGCCAGGGCCTGTGAGGGAGCGTGGGCAGGAGGGAAGCCGGGGAGGCCACGCAGGAGCGGCAGCACTTTTGAGTCCTACTGGGTAGGTTTGATGCCTGGGCTGAGGCTGCCCTCATGCTTCTGGCTCAGAGAAACAAGGCAGGGGATGCAGGCATCTTAGAACTGTGAGTCTGCAATGATCGAAGAACAGGAAAGCCAGTTTTCTTTATTTTTTTATTTGTTGGTCTTTTTTTGGAGACAGGATCTTAGTACCAGTTCAGGCTGGCCTTGAGCTCACTTTGTAGCCCAGGCTGGTCTCAAACTTGCGATGATCTTCCTGTCTCAGCCTCCTGAGTGCTGGGATTACGGCATGCGGCTCCAGGCCCGGCTGGAAAACCAGATTTCAAAGTACAGTGAAATGTTGCGCTAATATTCTGATGAAATGCTATTTGCTCCCCATGTGGATTTTTTGTTTGTTTGTTTTTTTTGTTTTTTTTTTTTTTTTTTTGGTTTTTCTCCGGTACCGGGAACCGAACTCACGACCTTGCGCTTGCCAGGCAGGCGCTTTTGCCGCTGAGCTAAATCCCCAGCCCCTGTTTGTTTGTTTTTTATTGGTGGCTCATTGGATCATTCCTTTATTCATTCAAGAAATTACAGGTATTTAATATGTGCACAATCTGGCCTTGCAAATCACTTCTAAAACCAAAGTAGTCTCCAGCTTGTAAGTGTCTCTGACTGCTCCATGAAGGTCTCCGCTTGCTCTGTGTAGCGGTGGGGGCCCGTTGCTCGGAGCGAGCTTCCTGAGGGCCCCCCTACGGGCTGCTCCGGGGGCGCGGGGGCTGCCGGTGCGCTGAGCTGCCCGTCGGGCCTCCGTGGCGTCCCTCTGCCTAAGAGCGGGAAGCGCTAGTGGGAGGCGCCCTGCTGGCGCCTCTGCGGAAGCCTTGTGGTGTGGCCTTACCCGGGATGGCGTTCTTCTCCCGGCAACGCAGAGCGTGCTCTCCGGAACCCTGCAGGGCCGGGAGCCGGGTGCACAAGCGAGTTCATGGGACGCGCTTCAGCCGTGGCCGGCCCCGGGCCGCCGTTCGCGGAGGGCTCAGCTGCGGCGCCGCCCGGAGCGCTCCGGGGTTCCCTTCGGCATAGCGTGCAGGCCGCCGGAGTCCCGTTGAGTGACTGCGCCGGCGTGCTGGGAGCCGGACGTGAGACGCGCCGACCTCGGGACTTACGGGGCTTACAGGGTTTGCCTGGCCTGCTTTTGGTCTTTCCCGCAGACCCGGCGTCGGGCGGGCACAACGAGCCTCCCCGGGGGACCCCGCGGCCCTCTGGCCGTCCTGACTGACCAGTAAGTCTCGCCCACGAGCTCTTGCCCAAACGACCGTGCCGCTTTCCTGTGCTTAGAGCCCTGCGGCGCGCGGCGCTGAGGCTAGCCCGGAGCTGCCCTCCACAAAGGCCGTGAATGAGCGAGGCCCGGGCAGCCGAGCGCCCACAGTCCGCCTCTGCGTGGGCGGGTGCCCCTCCTGTGTCGGTGCCGGGCAGCGACTCCTCCCGTCGTGCCCGCTGCCGCGGCCCCAGGCTGGCTCGCCGCAGCCCGGTCTTGCAGGAAGGGAAGGAAAGCTTGTGCGGCTCGGGGAGCAGGCTGGGACCGGGGGACGGACCGTCCCTGTGGGCCCTGCGGAGGCGGTGGTGCCGGGACCGCGGGGCTGCGCGTCACAAGGTTGGCAGCCACTGGGCCCCTCGCCGCACAGGAGGGATTTCGGCACTGTCGTCAGATCCACAGCTTCGCTGTTAACATCTCCGCTTTCCTCCCTGCAGTCCCAAACCATGAATTATGTGGGCCAGCTGGCCGGCCAGGTGCTCGTCACCGTGAAGGAGCTGTACAAAGGCATCAACCAGGCCACTCTGTCCGGGTGCATCGATGTGGTGGTGGTGCGGCAGCAGGACGGCACCTACCAGTGCTCGCCCTTCCACGTGCGCTTCGGGAAGCTGGGCGTCCTGCGCTCCAAGGAGAAGGTGGTGAGTGGGCGGCCCGTCTCGGGCGGGCAGAGCGGCGTCGCGCGGACCCGCACCCGAGGCCGCCCGCGGCGTGGCTCTGGAAGCTGCTTCTAAGTGCCGGAGGCCCTGCTGCGGGAAGGCGCTCCAAGGGAGAAGCCACGGAAAATTCCCGTAGGCCTGTGTGCTCCCACTCAGAGAGGCGAGGGAGAAGGGGAGGAGGGAGGGGCGGACGCAGCAGGAGCCTCTCTCCTAATTGTGGGTGAGCTCGGTGGATGTTCTCAGGAGTGCTGTGTGATCTGTGTAAAAGAAACCTGTAGCATCTTTGTAATTGAAATTTGCTGACTGGTCCCCAGTCTGACAGCATGCTGGCTCCCGGAGCGCAGGCCGTGTGAAATGTAGGAGTTACGTGAGAGGTGTTTGTATTGGCATTTCTTATTTGTATGTCCCTTTCCCTCAGCTTGTGGAGCAATGCGGAACGCTGCCAATATCACATAGCAGTCAAGTTTAAAAACTGAGTCAGTCCTCAAACTCTGGCTAGGCATCCTTCCCTCCCGGCTCCGCCCAGGGCGCAGCCTCAGCAAGCCGGGGCGGGGGGCTTGTCCAGGCTGGAAAGCAGCGGCGCAGAGCCTCGTCTTCTGGCCTGGATCTGAAAGTGAACGTCTGTCTTCAGCTTTTTGTTATTTTACGTGGTGACCTTACTTCTTAAATACATCTCCCCTTCTGTTTAAGGTAACTTGTATTACTTTGAGAGTGGAAGAAAATGGGTCTTACAGAACTGGATTTTTTCTTTTTCCTCCTGGAATGACATCTCATTTTTTCAGTCTGGACAGGAGAACCATGTTTCAGCCTTCGCTGTAGTGACCCTCTAGAGGGCAAGAGCTTCGCGGCTGGGCGGCTTGGAACTGTCCATCGCAAAGCAGTGCCTTCATGTGTAGGTCCTTCCTTTCCTTCGGGCAGGAGCGGCCTTCAGGGCACTGCCTGTAGGGGCCCAGCCGCACACTGCTCAGGCCCTGAGGCATCCCCTTCCTGTGCACGGCTCTGTCTGTAAACGGCTTCAGAGGCTTCTTTCGTTTTCCCGTGGGCAGCTGAGTGTTCCAGCAGATTGGATCAGTCTCTGGCCTCCCAGGCCGGATCCGAGGCAGAGCAGGGGAGCCCAGTGAACGCAGGCATGCGCCTAGGAGCTCGCAGCACCCTTTCTGCAGAAGGCCGCAGGGTTTGTTGTGTTCGTTGTCTTGTCAAACCCTTCCATTTTAGCAGGAATGCAATCCAGGAGACGAAGGAAAGCAGAAATCGTTCCCATTACCTCTCTTGCTATCCTAGAAACCCAGAGGGTGTTTGGGAAGGAATGTGGCCACTTGGTTGACTGCGACACAGCTTTTTTGTGACACTAAAACCGAAACCATAGCAGGGCATGGTGGCACACACCTATAGTCCCAGCATTCAGGAGGCTGTGGCAGGAGGATGTATGTGAGTTCGAGGCCAGCCTCGGCTACATAGTGAGACCCTATCTCAAGAAAAAGAAGGGCTGGGGATATAGCTCAGTAGCATAAGTGCCTGCCTGGCAAGTACAAGGTCCTGGGTTTGATTCACAGGTACCAAAAAAAAAAAAAAAAAAAAGAAGAAGAAATCAAAACCCTACCAGTGTTCAGCTGTCCCGGCAGATTGCACTAGCTGTCTTATTGGAGCTGTTTGGGTGAGGAAAGGTTGTTGATTTACACTGTGGCCCCAAATTTTCAAATGTGACTCTCATGAAGTGGACGTGAAATCTTGACCACCCTCTAAACTGAGGTTTGCACAACCAGGCGCGGTCACGGTGTGTGCCTGTCCGCTAGACACAGTGCTCCCAGTGTACCTGACAACCCAGGAGTTCCTTCTAGAGAGTACACTTGGACGTGATTCTTGAAGTACTAATTTCATTGGCTCATCACAAAACTGGTGACTTATGTATCAGTTAAACCCCCATGTGTTAGAACTGTTTCCATTGTGGATGGCAGTCCAGCTCCTGCCAGTTCAAGCTAAAGAGCACCAGTAAGTAACGTAAGTCCCAGGCCCTGGGGTCCTGGCTGCTCTGGAATTCTCACCTCTCAGCGACTTCTGGCTGAAGTTTCTCCCGGGTCAGGAGTCTCTGTCACAGGAAGGACCAGGAAGACACACGGGGAATGGGGTTAGCGTTCACATTTGTGCCCTGAAAGTGATTTATGCAGCCATTTCTTTTAAAAGGTACAAGAAAATGCATTTTGTGTAAATTAATTATTTTTAATAAGGTTTCTTGAATTATACAGGGTTTCTTTACTCAGTGTTCTATATTTATTACCCATGCCGGGTGTGGTGGTGCACACCTGTAATCCCAGCACTCGGGAGGCTGAGGCAGGAGGATCCTTGAGAGTTCAAGACCAGCCTGGGCTACAAAGTGAGCTCAAGGCCAGCCTGAACTGCATACTGGGACCCTGTCTCAAAAACAAACAAAAAACAAAACGAAACAAATACGTTTATTGGCCATTTAGTGTTTCACAGTTCACATTGTAACGGACTGCACATATTTGAACACAGTGCAGTAGGTTCCAACACTTACTTGTGCCCAACCACAGTCAAGGCATTTGTGCCGTCACCATGATCAAGACGAGGAGCTTGTCACTGTCCCGTCCTTTGAGTCTCCCCCAGCCTGTGACAGTCCCTCAGTCTGGGTTTTTCATGGCATCTGTTTACTTTCTAGCTATTTTTGAGTTCATTTTAGACTCGTGGACAGGTTGCAGATGCAGTTGAAGAAGTCTCCCTCCCCTTACTTCCTCCTCTGACGTTTCCACTCACGTGGCCACTGTACAGTTCCCGAAGGCCAGAGACGAACTCCGGCACGGTGCTGTTCACAGAGACCCGGCCACACGTCACCGGGCTTCCACGCGCGCCCGCTTGCTGTGCCGGCCGTGTCCTGTCGCTGTCACCCTGCTTGCTCCTGCAGGCCCTCAGCCTTTCTCTGCCTGCGACCCTGGCTGCTACGGCGGGCCGCAAGTTAGTGCGCAGGCTGCCCGCGTTGACCTGTCGCCACTTGCCCTGGGGCAGGAGCCACGGTGGCGCTGTGTGTGCCCGCCGTTGCGGTCTCTGCACCGCCGCCGCCCGCTGTGGTCTGGGTTCCCGGCGTCGGCGGGGTTTTCCGCACAGGCTCACCTGGGCAAGGGCTGGCTTCCTGTGTTAGGGTTACTGTGCAGATGTGTGGCTGACGGAGACTCCTGTCGTTTGCATCCTTCTACTCTGCTGATTGTGATTCAGTGAGGAAAAGCTACCCCGCTCTACCTACCTCAGTTCCTTGTTGGTGTGAACTCGTGAGCGTTAATGATTTGCCTTTACACATTATCACGATTATTTATGTGGCTGCTCAAGTGGAGTCCCCCCGGAAATGCTCCCGTAAGCTTTGGGCCCTTCCTTTCTGGCGCTGTGAGGTAGTCCAGTGAAATCTGCTTTCTCTGCCGAGCCTGGAATTCCTTCGTGTCTCCAACAGGCCCTGGTTCCTTAGGTTGTGGAATCCCACTAGAAATGAAGATCTGGCCACAGGGTGTGCTCTTTGCTGCTGAGCTGTCGTTGCTTGAGGCGCTCTCGGCCTCAGAGCAGGAAATGTATGCATGCTCCCGCGTACACGTACGGGTGTGCATCTCACATGCTGTGTACGTGTGCGGGTATGCGTCTCACGTGCCTGGGCACATGTACCAGTGTGCTCACCATCGCTCTGTAAGCAGCAGGAGCTCACACAGCCCTCTGTTCCAGGACATCGCCACAGGCTCTTATTTCCCCTTTTCTTTAGTTGGAACTTTGTGCTCTGACAGTGGGAACCCTGCTCTGGTTACCTGCAGTATGTCTGTGGATTTGCTTGGTCCTACAGAACACGTAAACTGGCTCCCAGATTGATGACTGCATTCTGTTCTTAGCAAGCATTTACTCACTACTGTGCAGAGTTTCTCCTTAGGTTCCTTCTCAGTGAGTCTGAAGACTGTAACATGCAGCTCTTCCGGCTGCACACCTCGGGCTCCGCAGCGGCCAGCGGCCGGCAGCAGGGTCACGCTTCCCACAAGGAGCTCCTTATTGTGTAACTGTTAGGTTTGATCTGAGTTTTACTTCAGGCATTATTGATTTGTGTTTCTTAGCTGCACTTTCGTCTTGGCCAGTTCCTCTTCCGATCACACATTTTATAAAATGTTCCACAGGTTCATCTCTGGGAGGCGAGGAGGCCGCACCATACCAGGCCTCACTGTCCTCCTGACCTGGTGCCAGTGTGTGGGGGCCGGTCCCTGGCAGAGGGTGGGCAAGGGCAGTGGCTGCTCACAGACCCTGATGTGTCACTGGACAGACGGGCTGGCAGGGAACATGTCACAGCTCTCATAGACACACCAGGGTCACTGAGGAGAGCACGTCAGAATGCTGAGAAGCCTCCTGTGTTGGAACTTGTGACGCACACAGATGGCTGGCGATCGGTGCCCGTTGCACAACATTTGGGAAAGTAAACAGTTGTGCTTTCTGTATGTGGTAGAAGTTGGTGGTGAGACGTTTGTGTGGACCGCACCTCATCCGCTGCCCCTGCCCGATCTGTTGTACTTCGGGGTGGGGGGCCGGGGTGTGGCGGTGCCTCTCGGAGCCGAGCTGTAGAAAACTCAGTGCTGAGTTTGGCTTGAGAACCAGAAGCCGGGCTGGGTTTAGCTAGGAGGAAAGGCTCTTCGCACGCCAAGTCATACTTTGTCTCCCCCCTTAGATTGACATAGAAATCAATGGCAATGCAGTGGATCTTCACATGAAATTGGGTGACAATGGAGAAGCATTCTTCGTGGAGGAGACCGAAGAGGAATATGTAAGTTCTCGAGGTCACGGCCACTTTACACGCTGTTCCGGGCCTCCGGGACACGTCCCGACACAGGAGTCAGTGGTCTTCCCGTGCTTAGTTGTATAAATGACTGCTGCAGGTTAGAAGGGCTCTACTTTTATGTTGAGCTAAGCTGTCAAAAAGGAGCTAGGTCTTTGGATGAATATTATAAAATAATCCTGTTTTTTAAAAAGGAGCTGGGGGGGATGAGAAACCTTTAAAATGAAAAGCCTGTTTATCCAAGAAACACTGGAATTACTTCTGTGCCACACACTGTGAATAAAACAGCCTGTGCTTCCTAGGTGCTTATGACTTCGAGAAGAATAAAAATTACCAAAAGCTCATGTGGCTGCCACTGATTTAGTTTTTGTTTCCTTCAGACTTCCCTCATTTTCTGTTATCTGCATCCATTTCAAGCCGGTAGTTCTAGGTCTGTCTGGTCACCACACAGTGTTCCGGTTAGGGAGTTCACACTTAGTTTAGCCGTTCTCTAACTGGTGGGCGTTCATACTGTTCCCACCTCCCAGGTTCTGCTGCAGTAAAGCTAGGAAACCTTGCTGTAAAACAGCTTTCAAGAAGGTCAAGCAAACTTTCTGTAACAAAGATGGTCATTAACCAGATCCCTAGAAACAGAGGCCACAGCCTCTCGCTGGGGTGCAGAAGGCCTTGGGCAGTTTCTCTGTGTTGGTGCTGAATGCAGGTGTGTGCAGGTAAATAACTCCCGGCTTCAGGGAACGTGTTCACCAAAGCCACACTGAGCAGCTTAAAACAGAGAAAGCCACGCATCCTCAGGATGTAAAAAGCATACAAACCTGAGCGCTGTAAATTACCTGAGGTCTGTGTATATCTTCTCCCTAATCTTGGGTTTGCCCTGAATGATACAGAGGAGTGAAGCAAAGGCTAAGTTGCTCATTTACTGGACGCCAGCCTCCACCATGTATTCAGTGTTGAGTTAGTGTAATAGCTTCTGAACGTTGGCCTTCCTTAGGATTCTTAAAAGGGTCATTATGCTTCCAGATTCACTAACTTGTCTTGTTACAAGGTCTTCCCTCCGCACTGTCCGGCAGTGTGCTCGCTGGCACCCGCCACTGCTCGGACACCCGGCCCCTCGCCTCCCTTCCCTGCCCTCCACCTCCTGCTCCCTGACAGTCCCTGGCTCTGTCACCGCTTTATCTTGTGAGCTCTGCCAGCATCCTTTGCTGCTTCGGACACCGCTGGGCAGAGGGCTGAGTTGGCTCTGCTTTGTCCTCGCCTGTGTGTTCTGCGCACACTGGCCCTCGGTTCTGGTTGCGTGTTCAGGAATCGCTGCCGCTTGGCTGTGTGGCAGAGCCCGGGTGGCCTCCTGCCCTCGGAAGCAAACATGCCGTACCGCCGCAGCAGAATTGAGTACTGCTTCGATCCGCGCACGGTGTGTCAGGAGTAACTTCACTTTCCCTGTCATCTTTAAGGAAACGCTTCCTGCTTACCTTGCCACCTCACCGATTCCCACGGAAGGTCAGTTCTTTAAGGATCTGGACTGCCCCTTGGGGAAACCAGGAGGAGATGGAGGACCACCCCAGAGTCCAGACATCTCGAACGTCTCAGAAACGGAGACAGTGTTCGCCCCAAGTGCTGTGAAGAAGAAGAAGCGGAGGAGAAAGAAGTGCAAGCAGGACAGTAAGAAGGAGGAGCAGGCGGCCTCCCCCGCGGCAGAGGGCGCCCATGACGTGGCCGTGAGCTCCGATGACGAGAAGGCGGCCCAGGTGGCCAGGTAGGGCCATGGGCCCAGGCAGGAGGGCAGTTCGGGGCGCTGTCTCCCTCCACACTTTATTGTGCAAGCGCGTGGGAGAGGCACTTGCTCTTGTCCTTTCTGCAACTAGCAGAATTTGCTGGTGGGCCTTCTGCCGTGACACTCAGATGTCATTTGTGGCAGGTTAGTGGTGCCTCTCTTCCAGCCTGGAGGCGGGCAGGTTACTGTGCCCTGCCCTGGAGCATGTTCGGAGGGCAGGGCACCTCGCTGTTGAGGCATCCCCCCACCTGGCTCTCATGTTGGTACCCGGCTGGTTCTGAGAAGCAGCCGCCGCCCTGCTTGTCTGCACCCTTCATTTGACTGCTGGGGACCCTGGGAGCGAGGCTTGGGTCTGCTTGTGTGTTCTCAGCCTAGCTCCTGGCCACCTGGGGAAAGGCATGCCATTCCACGGTTCTCCTCGGAGGAGAAGAAAGGGGTTTGCTAGTTACACAAAGCAGACCCTACAGAGCAGACTGTACCTGGTCCTAAGTGCATTGCTGAGCTTTTGTTTTTATAGTTAAGACAACAGAACACTGTGAGGGTTATAGTAGTGTATTCTACTAGTGAATAACATAGGATAATTGTTCCTTGGCAAAACTATTCACTCACTTTCCAAAGTCGTCGAATCTGGATGGTGAGTCCTGGAATAATACCCTGCAACTGATAGTAAGTTTTAAATATGTGAACATTTTTCTACTCATGTCACAGCTCTCTAGAGATATTCTTTTTACACTCTTACAGTGAATGCATTAGATTTTCTTCCTTTGATAGAGTAGAGAATCCCTATAACAACAAAATAATGAAAAATGGAAAGAAATGGTGAAGGTACTTTAGGGTTCATAATGTTTTGCAGCTAAAATTCTTTCAAGACCCACTTACGATGAACACTTGCCCCAAACCCCTGTTGACATAGCAGAGCAGTTTAGGGCCCCTAGCAATTTGCAGTTTTAGCTTAGGGTGCGAAAGCGTTTCTGAGACGTAAGCTTCCTTACTGAACGCTCACTGGCTGCACAGAGTCGCTCTCCTGAAGGAGTGTCAGGGTGGGAAGTGTAAGTGAGCGCGGAGGCATCAGCACGCGCCTTGCCTTTGCGAGTCACAGGCAGGCTGCGCCCCCGAGTCTGTTGGGCGCAGTGCTGCCGCCCGCCGCTTAGGAGCCGCGCCAGCTTATCTTGCTGAGCCAGCACCGGGCCCGCTGAGTCAGCAGCCCCGTCCCGCACACGCCGGCCGGGCCTGGGGGCGTTTCTCAGGAGCGCGGTGGTTTGCTTTTGCTTTGGGTCGCTGCTGTGGTGAACTGCAGAGGGTGTCACGTGGAGGAACTCTTTCTGAAGTTTGCTTTCAAAAGTCTGCTTAGTTATGCAGCCAGCAGAAATGAGGACTAAGAAAAAGGACAGCAAAGTGCCCGCCACAGTGAGCGGCTGGGCCTGCTAGATTCCAAGTGGAGCGCTGGCGCTCGCTTGTCAGCCAGGCTCCGCGCTCCCCTCGGCTCAGAGGCTGGCTTCTGAGGCCCTACAGGTGGGGTGCCGCTGCGCTGGCCGGGCCCCTCGCTGCCGACACTCAGCCAGGCGCTGTGGGCGTCTGCGTCCTGGCAGCAGCCCAGCTCTGTGGAAGCCGGCTAAATGCAGACTCATCGTGAGCCATGTGGAACTCTGACTCCACAGGGCGAAGGCCGCTGATAAGCACGCCTGAGCGTAGTGAGCTGATCTTTGGTCCGGTCCGCAGCAGTCCTGTTCACCTCTTACTGCCTGTTAAGTAGTTTAAAACTCACTTCGCACCAGTAATTTACCCCACGTAAACAACTCCAGCTATTTGCTGTGGTTTCTGTTGATTTCTTTCCCACCTGGCAGTGCGAAGTGTAAGTTAAGACACAAGAACCCGCAGAGCCTAGTGTGTGGGTCTGGGAACCTGGGCGGCTGCAGGCGTCTTGGTGGCCTCTGTAGCATCTGAATTAGGAGGATGTCGGTTTGCAAAGTGATGGCAGACATGAAGACACAACACAGGGACATCTGTGAAACTGCAGTGGCTCGTACACACAGATAGGGAGCGTGCACAGCCACAGCCCTGCTGAAGGCAGGAGCGCGTGCGCGGTAACCTGCCTTGCATCCCCACTGCTGCGCTGCACCCTCCCCCTTCCACCCGGCCCTCAACACCCCCACAGGACGCTTCATTGGACTCTCTTATCCCTCCTCAGTTTAATTAAATTGCTCTGTCCAGGTCTCCTTGCTGGCCCCTGTTCTCTGGCACATGTGCCATTTTGAAAAAGCTTAACAGCCCTTGAGAAACCCTGTTGAAATAAAGCAGTCGGGACGAAAGCAGCCTCAGTACCAGAAACCTTCCCTCACTGGTGAGCCTGGACTGGGGGCTGTTTCTGTCAGCTTCTCCCAGAAGCAGCCAGTTCATGTCTTCCCGGTGCTGTGAGTTCTCAATGGTATCTGAGCTCACCCTTTCAATATTTCACTCAATCCCATTTGTACATTTGTTTTGCTGAACTCTGCTCGGCCTTTTGTACTGTTGTGAAATATGTTCAGAGAAGGCAAGGATTTTCTTTTTTTCTTTTCTCTTTGTCTTTTTTGTTTTGTTGTTTTTGAGACAGGGTCTAGCTATGCAGTTCAGTCTGGCCTTGAGCTCACTTTGTAGCCTAGGCTGACCTTGAACTCACAACGATCTTCCTGCCTCAGCCTCCCCAGTGCTGGGATTACAGGTGTGTGCTACCATGCCTGGCCCCTTTTTCTTTTTGAAACAAGGTTTTGCTACGTTATCCAGGCCGTCCTTGAACTACTCCTCCTCGATTACAATGCTAGGGTTACAAGTATGCACCACCGTCTGGCTGATTTCCCCTTTTTTAAAGCAAAGTTATCATTTGATCTTCCTTTGTTATTTTTTCCTAGATGTCTGCTTTCCTCAATATATGTTTTTCTCCCCTTGAATAAGTTTATGTGTCTGAGTAATACTCTGGAAGAAAGATTAGCATTAGGAAAACCTTAAACAAACAATTTAAAAGAGGAAAGGTTTAATTTGGTTCATGGTTTCAGGGTATTTAGTTCATGGTTGCCTGGCTCCAGAGTTTCAGCAGTTCTAACATGTCTCAAAAGTCCACATCAAACTCTTCTGAGACTCACAGCAAACTCTTAGCTGTGAACCTCTGTAAAAATAAAGTCACTCAATCCCAGCATGCAGTGGCACAGGGTAAGCATCCAATTCTGAAAGGGAGGAATAGGGGGATAGGACAGGGCCAGCAGAAGACCAGATCCCAGCAGGGCAAGTCCTGTAGCTCCATATCCAGCGTCCAGGGCACACGGTAGTGAGAAGTGAGTTCCAGGGAGCTTTAGTGGCCTCCAACCCTATGGCCTTACAGTTGCAACCCACATAGCCTCTCTGTCTCGGGCTGGACTCACTCACAGCCTGCAGTTTTCCTCATGGCTGACTAGCATCTCCAATTTTCTGGGGTCTCCAGCACATACTCAGCTTCATTCCTGGGGCTGGGGATTTAGCTCAGCGGCACAGCACCTGCCCGGCAAGTGCAAGGTTGTGAGTTCGATCCCTGGTACTGGGAAAAAAAACAAACAAACAAAAAAGATTCAGCTTCATTTCTATAGTTTTGTGTGCTGTTCTCTCAGGGGCTACTTGCCTGGCCTCCAGGCCTTCCTTTGAAGTCTGAGTAGAAGCCTCCATGACCCTACAACTCTTACGTTCCGCATGCTGGTAAAATCACCATCATGTAGATGATACTAGGTCTGCTCTTATTAGAAGCAGTAGCCAGTCCCCTTGGATCATGGCTACAGCAGCCTCTGAATGTATGAGTGGTTGAGCACAAGAATTGAGTCCCAGGGAACTAATTGCCTTGGAAGCTCTTTTCAAGCAGGGGTCCCAGAAACTCTCTTCTCAAATGAAGCATTTATACTTCTGTATCCTTGAGCCTGTGATGGATGGACCTTTCTAGATTTCTGTGAATCCATCAAGGCATATTTCCTTTTCCCTGTGGGAAGTACTTTGTTTCTTTTTCATGGCACTAATCTCTTCAGCAGCCACACCTGCATTGGCTCCAACTTTATGCGTGTTTCCTTTGGGGCCCAAATTAAGTTTTTTTGCATTTTGCTGCCCTGCTTTTCACCCCCTGTTCTCACTATAAATCTGTTTTTTATTTTAAAAGCAATCAGCCATATCCATGCCATTGCATGAACATTGGGCTGCCTGGAAATTTTTTTCTACCAGATCAATTTATCTGCTGCTCTTAATCTCAGTCTCCTACTTTCCAGCCATAGGCAAAATGCAATTTTTTTTTTTTTTTTTTTTTGCCAGAGTGAAATACACATGCTAGTGGTACCAATGAAGTCCTTGTTCCCAAGTGAAACTTCCTGAGCCTGGTCTTTACTACCTGTATTCCTGTCAGCATTTCTCATCTTCTGAGCTATTATCAGAATTACCTTTCAAGCTCTGCTTACGGCACTTGAGGGCTCCTCTAGCCCACTTCTCCAAACCTTCCCAGATTCGCCGTATAAACTATTTATAAAGGCTTCCAAACCACATGGTCAGGTACAGACAGAGCTACCACCCCATTCTTCACGGGAACACAATACCGACATTCATAATTTAAAGGAGGGGAGGTTTGATTTGAGGATTCTGTTCATGGCATGCAGGAAGCAATGCCAGAGAGGGAGGGGCCGGGACCAGATACAGCCCCCAAAGTCACACCTCCGTGGCCCACCCAGACACACGCAGAAGGGTGCTTTGCTAATTGCTTATTCAGCTCCAAAACCAGTCAAGCTGACAGTTAAGCTTAACCTCCACAGTACCTCAGATTTGTAGGAGCCAAGTGAAATACGTGTACTGTAAGGCTTTAGCTGTAACCCCAAGGGATGTAAAAAGGAATTTTTTGCCTTTCCTCTGTTTGTTCTATAGTTAGTGGTTGCGGAATTTTTGGTAGGTGGCATTGCAAACCCCCTTTGGAAAGGAGGAGTTACTAACCATGTGGCCCGCTTCATTTTTATCAGACAGCTTGTCAGTAGATTTGGGTGCTTCTTAAAATGAAGGTGTATGACATTGTTTCTGTGTTTTCCTTTCAGAGGGTCTTCAAATGCTTCCTTAAAAGAAGAAGAATATAAGGAGCCTTTGCTGTTTCGTTCTGGGGATCACTACCCCCTGTCCGATGGAGACTGGTCCCCACTAGAGAAGTATGTATCTTTGGAAGTTCCTGTTTCCCTAAGGGAAGAAGGAAGTGTGTATTATCTGCTGTTATTCCACGGGAATGGTATTTCCTCAGTAATCACGCTGGTCTCAGCATGACCTGACTGACCCTAGCAGTGTGGAGCCGCTGTAGACCTGGGTGAACTCTGCCACCCAGAGAGCCTGAAACCTGGTCCTTAGTGTCCAGCATCAGCTGTGCAGAGTGAGTCACACGTGGGGAGGCTGTGGTCGTACGATTTACACTCCACCGTCTTCACGTGTCAGCTGCTCACACGCATTTTCCTCCTGCAAAGTGGCCATCCTCGCTGCTTTCCTCGAGATGCAAGTGAAATAACGCGTGTCCAGCATTTAGAGAGGAGGAGATCACCACCGTCCCCTGTAGAGCGCACACATCTGTGGCATAGGCTGACTCACTCTAGACTTGAGTTTCCCTTACTGAAGGTGTCCCTGTCTCTGCCCTGTGTTCCAGCACCTACCCCCAGGCAGCATGTGCGAAGAGCGATTCGGAGCTGGAGGTGAAGCCCTCGGAGAGCCTGCTGCGGTCCGAGTCGCACATGGAGTGGACATGGGGTGGCTTCCCTGAGTCCACCAAGGTAGGGCAGCTCGGTGCTCACAGCTGGAGCGCCACTCCCTATGAGCTCCCGGAACACACACAGTGACAGTGCGCCCTCTCGTGGCTGTGAACGCCCCCATGACACTGTGTTTCCTAACCTATTTGCAAGAGAAGGAATACTGCGTAAGGAAATTTTTAAGGCACTTAAAGGAAAATAAAATTTGCACCCTGAAACTTTGCACACAGAACTGACTTTTAAAGCTTTTTTTTCTACCTCATAATAAGAAAAAAACTAGAAAAATATATATCTTGAGAAAGATGTGTAGATCTACTGTTAAATTTAGTTTTAGGGGGGGTTTTGTTGTTGATGCTTTTGAGACAGGGCCTCTCTATGTAGTTCAAGCTGGCCTCGAACCCACTACAGAGCCCAGGCTGGCCTCGAACTCACAGTGATCCCCCAGCCTCAGCCTCCCAGGTACTGGGATTGCAGGCGTGCACCGCCACACCAGGCCGAATTTAGTTTTTTAAATATAAACTTTGCTCGTGTTTGTGATCACATCTGGACTTCTTACTGTCCGTGTTCTTCACGGAGCTGTAAAGCAGTCAGGCGCGGTTATTTTTACTCAGTAACTATCGCGACTCCTCTCCCTCCAGTGGAATATTCTCTACCTCTGGTATCTAAGATACATCGTCCTCTCCCCACACTGCCTTCTGCACTGTGGAACAGGTTAGGGACACCTGTCATCCCAGCATTCAGGAGGCTGAAGCAGGGGGATGGCAAATTTGGGGGCAGCCTCAAGACCCTGCCTCAAAAAAAAACAAAAAAAGTAAATGTAACTCTTTCATAAATATCATGATGCAGAACAGATTACAATTATTAATTTTGCCACATTTTAATTATGAACTGTTTTACACAAAACAATATGTTTAACAAATATGTTAAATTGTAAATAAGAAGTTAGGCGGACACCTGTAATTCTAGTGCTTGGGACGCTGAGGCAGGAGGATCACCACGTATTCGAGGCCAGTCGAAAACATATAGCGAGACTATCTCAATCCCCCACCCAAAAGTACATATATATTAAAGAATTAAATAGCAAATACCTTTTAAATTAGTTTGACTTTAAACCGTTCACCTTTCCTAGGTCAGCAAAAGAGAAAGGACAGACCATCACCCTCGGACGGCTCTGATCACTCCATCGGAAAGCACCCACTTCCGGGTCATTCCGAGCGAGGACAGCCCCCTGCGCGACGAGGATGAGGACCGGGCCCCTGCTGACCCGGTGCCTGCCCTGCTGAAGCCCACACCCAGGGCCCTGTGTGCACATGCGCAAAGCCGAGACGCCTCTGGGTCCCCAGAGCCCGCGCAGCCCCTGCCCGAGGGGGACGCGGAGCCCTCGCCCAGCCCCATCTCAACCGAGCCCAGGCTAGCGGCCAAGGTGGACTCGCCGTCCAGGAAGAGGGGTGAGTGCCCCCCGCTCGAGATAGGGGAACCCGACCCCCGGCCGCGGTGCCCAGCGCCCGGCGCGCGCCCCTGCAGGGCTGGTGACCCGTGCGCCTCGGCCAGTCACTTCCCCAGGCCGGAGCGTGTCAGCAGCCTTCGACTGCACGCTTCTGCCTCCCTGTGTTTTAGACCCGCTCTCGGCGCTCGTCCTCCAAGGCACTGGCCCCCTGCTCCCAGGCCGCTGCCCTTCACAGCCCGCCCAGAGCGGTCCCCTCATGTCCCGGGGCGCGGGGCTGCTTTTGGTCACCGCCGTGCCCCGGCCCCAACAGCCTGGCACTGGGAGCCGCTTGTCATTTAAACCTCACGGCCCCGGGGGCTGGGGATTTAGCTCAGCGGCAAAAGCGCCTGCCTGGCAAGCGCAAGGTCGTGAGTTCGGTTCCCGGTACCAGAGAAAAACCAAAAAAAAAAAAAAAAAAAAAAAAACCTCACAGCCCCTCCTAGAGACGAGGGTGAGATTACTTCTAGTGACCTTCTATTTAAGGCATGAAATCTAAAACATAATTTTGATATGTAATCAATATAAAAGCTACTGAGATAATTTTGTGGTTTTTGAAGTAAGCAGTATCTTTTACATGTTATGTTTTTAAAATCTTATTCTAGATGATAAATTTTTAAGTTGAGATACTTCTGTATTTCTAACATTTTGCGTAGGTCGGCTGTCTGGGTGTGTAAATATATGCTCCTTCCTGACGTTAGAACAGTGGCCTGGCAGCTCTTCGAGTTCTGTCGTGTTCGTTTGTCCCTGGGCATATTCTTTCTTTCTTTCTTTTTGTTTTTTGTTTCTTGAGACAGCGTCTCGCTATGCAGTTCAGGCTGGCCTTGAGCTCACTTTGTAGCCCAGGCTGGCCTCGAACTCACAACGCTCCTCCTGCCTCAGCCTCACGAGTGCTGGGATTACAGGCGTGTGCCACCATGCCCAGCTCCTATGCATATTCTTTACGGCTTCTTCATGAAGCAGATGGTTGAGGGCCAGGGATTATTCACTAACAGCAGTGAACGCGTGAATAAATGGCATGGATGATCAGCACGGGAGTTCTGTTCCGTCTGCTGAGCTGCTTGAGAGTGAAAAGACGTAAAAAAGCTGATACTTTTAAAGTGCAACTCAGTTCAGTTCATGGCCTCTCTTTCTTGTTTACAAATTTTATTTTCCTTTAAAATTGTAGGTTCATACATCTCGTATGTTTTTCTTAAAACACACAGGTGTCCACAAGAGAAGCCAGCACCAGGGGCCTGACGATATTTACCTGGATGACTTGAAGGGGCTGGAACCTGAGGTCGCTGCGCTCTACTTCCCGAAGAGGTAGCGTGTTCTCCGTGTCCTATGGGCGGGGCTCAAATTGTCTGTCTGGTTCCTCCCTCTGAGGAAGCAGCAAGGCTGTTGCCCTCAGGGCAAATCTGCTGATTGCTTGTGGTTTTAGGGGATTCATACAGTTGGGGGGGGTGGGGCCAGAGTGGCTTGAAGGTCATCTGCAGCTGTTGATGAAGACATCTCTGATGCCGTAAGGGTGACACTGCTTAAGCCTGCATAACTGCATGTGACTTCAGAGTAACAGTTTTTATATTCATCAGTGCAAATTCTACATGTTTTGAAAAACTCATTAGCACCTTTTTTATTTATGATGTGTTTTTATTTCTTTATTGGTACCGGGAATCGAACTCAGGACCTGCGCTTGCCAGGCTTGCCAGGCAGGTACTCGTGCCGCTGAGCTATATCCCCAGCCCTGTGACATGTTTTTAAGAACACATCCTTGCCAGGCGTGGTGGCACATGCCTGTATCCCCAGCACTCGGGCGGCTGAGGCAAGAGGATCGCCAAGAGTTTGAGGCCAGCCTGGGCTATGTAGCAAGACCCTGTTAAAAAAAGAGTACATCTTTCTTTAACAGTACTTTACCAGGAGAGCTTTCCCTCCCTGGGAGGCCGGAGACCCCCGGCCTGGTCCGCTGAGACCCTGTTCCGGTGCGTGCTCCCACTGGGGTCACCCGGGAGCCCTCCCTGTCCTGTAGGCTGCTCCCCGCAGGGTGACTCAAACCCACGAGAACCCTCTTCCTGCATCATTTCAGCCTCAGGCTTTCAGGACGGTTTTCTGAAAGGAGAAACTGCTCAGTTTACTTTTTCCGCAGAAGGGTGACGCAACTGAGCCGCACACTGCAGCACTGCTAAGTGAAACACAGAGAAACACACTTCGTTTTTCACTCGGCATGGAAAGACGGGATGGACGTGACCATTTAATTTTGTGACAGATACTTTGGGAAGGTTCTTAAAATTTCTTCCTAGCTGTGTACCTTAAACTTGTCTCATAGTTCATTTGAAGTAATGGGGTTTTTAAAGGTGAGAAACCTTAAAGCTAAGGTTTTTGTAGTAGGAAAATTAAATTATAAATCTAAAGGTCTTTTGGGGAGTTTTGGGGGTCTTCTATGTAGAGTATCATGGCATCCATGAATAGTGATAATTTAACTTTTTCTTCTTTCCTATCGTTATTCCTTTTATTTCTTTCTGTTATCTAATTGCTGTGGCTGAAGTTTCAAATAAAAACTATCTATTCCAATTTTCTGTAGGGTTTGTTTTTTGTTTTGTTTTGTTTTCCTTTCTGAAATAGGGTCTCACTGTGTAGCTCAGGCTGACCTTGAACTCACTTTGTAGCTCAGACTGGCCTCAAATTCAGCAATGCTGCGTCTGTAGGCTTTTTAATCACGAATGAGTATTGAGCTTTGTCAAATGCCTTTTCTGTCTCTATTGAGATGATCATAGGCTTTTTGTCCTTGGTTCTGTTAATATGGTGTATTACATTTATTGATTTACATATTTTGAACCATCCCCGCATCCCTGGGATGAGTCCTACATGATCGTGGTGTATAATCTTCTTGATGATTTGCTGCATTCTGCTTACCAGTCTCTTAGTGGGGATTTTTGCATCTATATTCATTAGGGAGATTGGCCTATAATTCTTTCTTGGTTGGGTTCTTCTCTGGTTTTAGTACCAGAGTAATGCTTGCTTCCAGGAATGAATTTGGGAGTATTGTCTCCGTTTCAGTTTCATTAAAGAGTTTGGGATGTAGCAGCATTAATCCTTGTCTAAGTATCTTGGAGATTTGACCAGTGAGTCAGTTAGGGCCTGGGCTTTTCTTTGTTGCTAGGTTTTTAGTTTCATGTTCAATTTCATTGACTGATATGGGTTTATTTAGAATTTTTTATCTTCTTGATTCAGCTTTGATATTCCATATGTATCTAGGAACTTGTCCATTTCTTCTGTGTTTTCCACCTTTTTAGAATACTGTTGTCAAAGTAAATACTGATGATCTTCTGGATTTCTGCAGGATCTGTTGTGACTTCACCCTTTTCATTACTAATTGCATGGATTTGCGTGTTTTCTTTCCTTTTTTGGATAAGGTTAGCTAAGGTTTGTCAATTTTACTTAATCTTTCCCTTTATAAGGATGTACTGACCTTCTTTGTTTCTCTTAATCAATCTTGCCTTGAAATCCTCTTTGTCTGCAAGTAGAATAGCTACCCCTGCTTTTTGCTGGGTTCCTATCACATGAAGTATTATTTTTCCACCCTTTGACTTTCAGTCTATGCATTTCTTTTTGAATTAAATGTGTTCTTATATGCAGCATTTTGTTGGCGCTTATCTTTGACCCATTCTGCTAGTCTGTTTCTTTTGATTGGTGAATTAAGACCATTAACATTGATGCTTATAATTGGCAGGTACTGAATTATATTTGTCACTTTATTTTTCTGTTGCTGGCTCTACCCCCCACCCCATTTAATAGTTTGCCTTACCTGGTATATGCCTTCTTTTGGGGTTCATGAAATTGTAGTCCTTGTTATCTCTTTCTAGAATGTCCTTCAGAACATTTTGGAGTGCTGGTTTGCTGTTCATGAATTTCCATAGGTGTTCTTTGTGATGGAACTATCTTTTTTCTCCATCAGTTTTGAAAGAGAGTTTTGCAGAGTATAACCATCTTGAGCTGGAGGTTGTTTTCTTTTAGGGCTTGAAATACTTCACTCCAAGTTTTCCTTGACTTGAGGGTTGGTGTAGAGAAGTCAGCTGTGATTCTGATGGGCTTTCCTTCATAGGTGATTTGTTTCTTTTCTCTGACAGCTTTTAAGATCCTGTTCTTAAGCCAGGCATGGTGGTGCATACCTGTAATCCCAGCACTTGGGAGACTGAGGCAGAAGGATCATTAGGAGTTCAAGACCAGCCTGGGCTACAAAGTGGTGTTGAATTTCTGGAATCTTGACTGTAGTTTTTATTTAATTTCATTTATGTATTTATTTTTGTCATGGCTAATTGGAGTTCTGTACACCTCACTCTCTGTATGTCAAATTCTTTTTTCCTGCCAGGGGTGTTTTCTGCCATGACGACTGTGAGCAGGTTTTTTATATCCTTTGTGCTCTCTCCTGCTTTACATTGACTCCGATCAATCTTTGTTATTCTTTGCATCATCTAGCAGCTGCTGAGTTGATTTCTTATGGTCCCTTATTATTTTCAAGACGTCTTAGGGCTGGGGATGTAGCTCAGTGGTACAGTGCCTGCCTGGGAAGTGCAAGACCCTGAGTTCAATTCTCAGTATAAAAAAAAAAAAAAAATCTTCCTTTGCATGATCACTAACCACAAGCCTGTCTTCTGTGTCTGAGATTCTGTCCTCACAGTGGTTTATTATGCTGCAGATACTTGCAATGAAATTTTTAGTCTCCTGGATATCTGCTTGAATCTGTTTATGGATTCCATTTCTTTCCAATGTTGGACATTCATGGCTTCCATCCTTTTCCTAAGGTCCTCTGTTTTTTAAATCTGTATCTGCTCTAGAGTGACTAAGCATGTTTTTCATCATGGTCACCATCTCTGTAGTTATCCAAAAAATTACATCTGATTTGCGTCTTTTTCTAGAGCTTCGTTCATTTGCTTTGTTGTTGCTACTCAGAGAGGCCAGGCGGGTGCTTTCAGATTGTCCCACCTCATTGTCCCGTGGGTTTGTCTTTGATAAACTGGATGTCTGAGGTTACAATTGAAGTGTCTTCTCCTTTTATTTTATTTTCTTTAGTTTAATTCCTGGGTTGGTGCTTGAAAATTGCCTATGGTAAGTTGCTTTATTGTATTTTGAAACCATAGAAATGACTGCTTCTCAAAGGTGTCTTCCAGGTATATATAGCTGGTTTGGGGGTTTTGAGTCTGTTGCAAGATCCTACCTCTTCAGTTTATTGAGGATGAGAAGTTGCTGCCTGCTTGGCCCAGCCTCTGGTTTTTTGGCACTGGCCTATAGCATTCTCTGGGACCCTTAGGCAATCTCAGTCTTGGTATACCAAGAACAGCTGGTTAAAAACAATTATGTCACTTTGGCTAAAGTGGTACAATCAACAATAACAATAGCATCAAACACAGCCACTAGCCAGTGCAGTCCTCCACGTCTGCTACTCTCCTCCGCTGCTTGTGTCTCCATGGAGGCCTCTGGGGTTTCCAGCAGTCACTGTGTGTCTACAGATTTGAACTGTTCCTCCCAGGCAGTGAGTCCTGACTTGGAGAAGGCACCACCAGCTACCTTCTTCTACATTGAAGTTTCTCTCTTTGCTGTCCCTGTTGTCTTCAGATCTAGCTTCATATCCTTCCTGGGTCCAGGAAACCCAATTCCCTCCTCCTCCTCTACCTTGCATTGCTATATTCCAGTGTCTGGACAGCAACTCTCAGCAAGGCTCTTTATTTGTTGCTTACCACTCCATCTTCCTTATTTAATCTTTCAAAGAACCAACTCTTTAATTCATTGATTCTTTGTATAGTTTTCTTAGTCTCCATTGCATTAATTTCTGCTCTGGTCTTTATAATTTCTTCCCTTGTACAAGCTTTGGGCTTAACCTACTTCTCTTTTTCTAAAAGCTGGAGGTTCAGCATTAGGTTGTTTATTTGGGCTCGCTCTGTTTCCCTGACAGATTCCCCTTGTAGGACTGCTTTCATTGTGTCCCTTAAGTTTCAGTATGTTGTATTAGCATTATCATTCAATTGTAGAAAGTGTCTAATACCTTCTTTATCTCTGACCTGTTGGTTGTTCAGAAGGGTGTTATTCATTTTCCATGTGTTAATGAAGTTCTTATGGTTTATTTTGCCATTGATTTCCAATTTCTTTGCACTATGGTTTGATAATATGCATGGGATAATTTCAGTTTCTTTGCATTTACTTACGCATGTTTTATGAGTTAGTATGTGGTCTGTGTTGGACAGTGTGCTATGTGCAGCTGAGAAGAACGTGTATTCTGATGTTGTCAGGTGGAACACTCTGTAGACATCTACTAAGTCCAACTGTTCCAAAGCTTGGTTCCATTCTAATATTTTATTGTTGATTTCTTTGTCTAGTTAACCTGTCCATTTGTGGCAGTGGGGTATTGAAGTCTCCCATTACAATTATATTAGCACTTATTTGATTTTTCATGTCCATTAATCTATGTTTTATATAGTTGGATGCACTGGTATTTTATATATATATATAAATCTTATATATATATGCTTCCCTTTACTAGGATGTAGTGACCTTCTTTGTCTCTCTTAATCAGTCTTGGCTTAAAATCTTCTCTGCCTGCAAATAGAACAGCTACCTCTGCTTTTTTTGGGGGGGGGTTCCTGTCACATGGTGTACTGTTTTCTACCATTTCACTTTGAGTCTGTGAATTGCCTTTTGAATTAAATGTGTTTCTTGTATGCGACATATTCTTGGTTCTTGCTTCTTGATCTGCAGGAGTCCCTGAGGGTGCTCAGATTTGGCAACAGAGGCCTAGGCTTTGGGGAGCAGGCGCTGTCCTCCGTGGGTCTGGCCTGGCCTGGCCCCGCATCTCATCCCCGGTGTAGCCCTGGGCTTCCTGATGGCCACTCAGCCTTGCTGGGCCCCCAGTGCCAGTGAGGATGCCCTGCTGGGCCATGTGACCCCACTCCTCACTGCTGTTCATGGAAAATCCCTCCAAACCTGAGTTTCTCTTAGAGGAAACGCAGACATTAATCTTTTTGAAACTGCTTCCCATTCACAATACATCTACGTTCACTTACACTTACTACTCGACTTTGATATTTGTTTCAAAAGATTATATAATTTAGGCCAGGCATGGTGGCATATGCCTGTAAGCCCAGCACTCGGCAGGCTGGCTCGTTGCAAGCTGAAGGCCAGCCTGAGCGGCATAACAAGGGCCTGTCTCAGAAAGACCAAAAAGAAAAAAGAAAAGATGTAATTTCACCAGATCTTACATATTTTTTTAAACAAACATTAAAAATACTAGCTTTTTAATAAAGTAAACTTGAAATTTTATAGCAGTATTGCAAATATGACAGCAAATACCTATTCAGAGAAGAAGAATAATAAACATTTGTGACTAAGAAACACAAGGGCCACATAGATGACCCCAAAAATGCCACTTAAAAACTGCTAGATTTGATAAGCAAATTCAGTAGCATAGTTGGGTACAAAGTCAGCACTCAAAAATCAGTACCTTCCTGTACACAAATAACAAACTGACTGAGAGAGAAATTAGGGAAACAACACCTTTCACAATAGCATCTAAAAAAATGAAATACATAGGAATCAATCTAATGAAGATGTAAAAGACCTCTACACTGAAAACTACAGTACTCCGGAAAAGGAGGTTGCAGAGAATATCAGAAGATGGAAAGATATCCCTTGCTCTTGGGTATGAAAACCCAGTATAGTGAAAATAGCCATACTCCCCAGACTGTTCTACAGATTTAATGCAATTCTGATCAAAATTCCAGTTGTTTATCTCACAGAATTAGAGAAAACAATCCTAAAATTCATTTGGAACCAGAAGAGACCTAGCATAGCAAAGGCAATTCTGGGCAACAAAGGCAAGGCAGGGGGCATCAAATCCCTGACTTGAAACTATGTCAGACGTGGTGGCACACGCCTGTAATCCCAGCACTCAGGAGGCTGAGGCAGGAGGATCGTTGCGAGTTCAAGACCAATCTGTGCTACAAAGTGAGTTCAAGGCCAGCCTGAACTGCATAGGGAGACCCTGTCTCAAAAACACAAAAAAAGATAAAAGAAACAAAAAAAAAAATAAAGCCATTGTGATTAAAGAATTCAAAAAAAAGAATTCAGACCCTCCCAAATTTAACCATCCAGTCAAAAAATGAGCATTTGAGATGAATAGACACTTCTCAGGTGAAGAAATAGAAATGACAAATAAATATAGGAGAAAATACTCAACTTCACTGGTCATTTAAGAGATGCAAATTAAAACTGGTGAGGTTCTTCTCTGGAAAGAATGACTATTAAGAAATCAACCAATAACAAATGCTGGAGGAGCTGTGGGGAAAAGGGAATCCTTCACTGTTGGGCGTGTAGACTGGTGCAACCACTGTGCAAATCAGGGTGGAGATTCTTCAAAAAGCTAGGGTTGGAGGTCCCATTTGACACAGCTATTCCCCTTCTGAGTACCTTTTCAGAACAATTTAAAACATCATACCGCAGCAATATATGTGCACCCATGTTTATAGCAACACAATTTGTAATAGCTAGATCTTGGAAACAACCCAGATGCCCATCAACAGAGGAATGGATAAAAAAGATGGGGTCTTTTTATACAACGGAGTACTACTCAGCCATAAAAAGTGAAAGATTTATACAATTCAAAGAGAAACCAGAGTACTACACAGCCATAAAGAAGGATAAACTGGAGACTTTTATAGGTAAATGGATGCAACTCAAGACCATACTTGTAAGTGAAGTAAACCAGACTCACATGTGCAAACATCATATTGTCTCCCTAGTGTAAGAAGCAAGCTGAAAGAGTAAATAATATCCAAAATGTACAACAGATTTTGTAAAACAGGAAAAAACTGTTCAAAAGGAAAGAGAAACTGGGATGGGGCAAAGGAGGAAGGGAAAAGCAATATATATATGATAGAGTAGTTACGCTACTAATTTCTCTTAGTTCATTGAAAAGAAAGGTTTGTACTAATATTGTTGGGACAGTTAAAAGCACGTATCTTATACTCTAAGTAACTTAAAGATAACAGTATGCAATGTATTAACAATTGGTAGCCTCCTATTACCTTGTTTTAAAATTTTGGGGGTTTTTTCTCTTTAAAATAAAATTATTTAAAAAACACACAAGGTCCATATTTTTTCTTCCAAATTTACACTCCATGCTGGGTGTGGTGGCGCCGGCCTGCAATCCCAATACTTGGGATGCCACAAAGTTGAGGCCAGCCTGGACTATGTAGCGAGAGCCTGCCTCCAAAACAACAAATTTATTAGAGCCGGGCATGGTGGTGCACTTCTGTAATCCCAGCACTCGGGAGGCTGAGGCAGAAGGATCGTTGCAAGTTCGAGGCCAGCCTGGACTACAAAGTGAGCTCAAGACCAGCCTGAACTGCATAGCGAGACCCTGTCTCAAAAAGAAAAAAAAAAAAGCCGAGTGTGGTGGCACACGCCTATAATCCCAGCACTCAGGGGGTTGAAACAGGAGGATCGTTGTGAGTTCAAGGCCAGCCTGAACTGCACGGCAAGACTCTGTCTCAAAAAGACCCCCCCCTCCGCAAAAAAACCCACACACATTTACGCTGTGGTACAAAGGTTTCCATTGTAGTCGCCTTCTGGAATCTGGCTTCTGTGCCGGATCTGGGAAGATAACAGTGTTGGGTCGCCGTATCTTTAGCTGGAGCCCTCCTGTCCTAAGGAAGATTTGCTTCCCGTCTGCTGCGTCCCCTCTGCAGATGGACGCAGCTCCGCAGGACCCTTACTTGTGGAGGCTCTCTGTGTGTGGAGGGAAGAGCTGACTGGAGGCCTTTTGGGGCGCAGCCCTGGACTAGTCCTTTCCCCCAGGTGCTCTTAACCACCTGGTCGTTCTTGTCATGGAAATGTAAATAAATGCCCAGAGCTGTTGCTCCTGTAATTAAAATCGTAAAAGCCAGAGTTGAAGCGTTGGTGTCACGGCTTGGTGACGTGGTGACGCCTACTCTAGTCCCAGCTGCTTCCCCGGCTCTCTGACGTACCTGTCACATAGGTCTGCCCGCTGGGAGCCCCGCGGCCGCATCACCACCCTTCCTTTGGGGAGAGGCTGAGCTGTGCCCCCGGAAGCCGCGCGCCAGCCAGGAGGGTTGGAAGCGGTCCTGACAGCTCCCTCCTCTCTTCTCTGCAGTGACGGGGACCCCGGCTCCAGGCAGTGGCCCGAGTCCGACACGCTGTCTGGCTCTCAGTCCCCGCAGTCGGTGGGAAGCGCAGCCGCGGACAGCGGCACCGAGTGCCTCTCGGACTCCGCCATGGACCTGCCCGACGTCACCCTGTCTCTCTGCGGGGGCCTCAGTGACAATGGGGAGATTTCTAAAGGTACCTGGAATGGCCTTACCTGGGCCCCGCCCGGGGGCAGCCTGTGCGCGGGGCTTAGGCCCTGCTTCGGCCATGCAGGGCTTTAGGCTGCGGGGCTCTTGCAGCAGGGTGTCCGGAGGGAGGCATTCTCAGCCACCCGGCGGCTGCTCCCCCCCACAGTTGTTGAAGCACTTGTGGGCCTGGGGACCGGCACCCTCTGGAGAAGCACTTGGGGCAGTGTGAAAAGTAGGATGGTTGTCTGCCTCAGCTTGAGACAGAAAAAGCCGGCCCCAAGTAAGGAAGGAGCTTTGCAGAGCCAGTGAGGGTGAGGGGCCCTAGGGTGCGCGGACAGGATGTGTGTCCTGCCTGCCTGCACCGCGCGTTTAACCTGTGCGCCGCGCCTCCTCCATTGGGCAGTGTCTGACCTTCCTCCAGGCCAGCACCATCACCCCAGTGTGCCCTTCCTGCCGCTCCTCTCCCCTCCCGAGGGTCTGCAGGCTCGGCGTGGCGTGGTGTGGCGTCGCAGAGCGGGCCAAAGCCCCCACCCCGTTGCTTGCAGTTGTGTCTTCTTAGCGTCACCAGATGCTAATTACGCCTCTCTCTTCTCCATCTCTTTCTCCCAGTTGTTTGCTTTACATCTTACAGAAATGAATGGTGTATCGTGGCCACCAGTCCCTTCTGGGAACAGACCTGCGCCGGCCACGTACTCTTTCTCATCCCTGTCCTCGTTACTGTCCTCTCATTGCTGAGACGAAATACCCACCCCCACAGTGAAAGGGGAAGGTTTATTTGGCTCACGGTGCGTGGAGGGTTCAGCCCGTCATCGGCTGGCTCCAAGGCAGGCCGGCATGCCAGAGTGGCGTCAGTTCATGGTGGTGGAAGACAGCAAAAGCAGGCGACCTTCACAGCGTCTTTCCACCCCTTTTATACTCGATTTAGGCTGCTGGGATTAGAGCGGTGCCACGCCAGTCAGTGAGCCGCTCACACACTCTCCGTCCCAGCGTCACCCACTCCAGACTCCGCCACTCTGGAAGACAAAACCCCAGGACGCTGAGGCTTTGGGGGGAGTCTAGGCCGCAGAAAAGCGGCCTCCTGGGCGGGGCTTCTCACGCCTGACTCAGGCTCTGGTCTGCGGCTGCTTCTCAGAGCAGTAGTAGTGGGTTTGCAGGTTTCCTAGCACAGCTGCGCGCACGCCCTAAGGCCCGGGAGCACCCCCGCCGTGACGCGCTCTGCCGGGAGTGGAGCTTCCCGTCTGAGTCGCAGTGGCTACTTCGCGTCCTCCCTTGTGTTGCGCTTGCAAGAATGTATTTTCCTAAGTCTCTGGTGTGTCCCTCTGTCCTGTTGTTCAGGCTGGTTGGTTGATTTTTTAGCTGGGGGAAGAGCAGGAAGATACAAAAAAGCTTTTCTTTTTATCCTGGATAAAAAAACCTGACATTTTGCCTTTGATTAAAATAAGTTTTTTTGGAAGGACCTCTTTTAGCCTACAATTCCTACAGGCAGAATGTTGTGATAATCTCTTACAGGAACTTACGAGCTCTCTGACCTTACATTGCAGAAAAATTCATGGAGCATATCATTACTTACCATGAGTTTGCGGAAAACCCGGGGCTAATAGACAACCCCAACCTCGTCATCCGGATTTATAACCGGTAAGTCCTCGCGCCCTGGTCATTGCTCACACTCTCGGAGGCTTCTTACAAGTGCTGTTTTTCAGTCGCACTTCTTGCTGTAAAAGTGGTCGTGTTACACAGACAGCCGCGGGCCCGGGACTCGAAGGGGAAGTCGCAGCTCTGTTCTAGATGAGGCGCTGAAGTGCTGCTCTCCTTTGTGGGTTTCGGGACTTCTCTGCTCGCAGTTGGGGCTGTAGCAGTGGTTTCCGTGTGAGGGACACGTAGCCAGTCGCATTTCTGTGGAAAAGCACAAGCGGTTGGGGGCGTTACTTCTGCCTCTCCGTTCCTCTCCCCTCGCCCCAAGCCTGCTCCGCGTCGCTCTCGCCGGCTCTGTGTAACGGTCTTGCACAATTTTCACTTCTCACAGTTACTATAACTGGGCGTTGGCGGCGCCCATGATCCTCAGCCTGCAGGTTTTCCAGAAGAGTCTGCCTAAGGTGAGCCTTCCGCGTCCCGAGCGGAACTCTCGGCGTGCGCCTCGCCGGGCTCGTGCTGCTCAGTCATGTCTCAGTTTAACGTCTCGTATGAAACAGCCAGGTTGCCGTGTGTGGCTGCTAAGTGCTTCATGCCCACACTCTAGGAAGTTAGCTGGGCGCCACCCTGTTCCTTTCACTGACTGTGGTCGTGTGTAAGTTCAGAGATTCGGGGCGGAGGAGCTCACAGTGTGCAGCCGGCCGAAGTACGGCAGGCCCGGGGGAGGAGCTCGCAGAGCGCGCTGATTGACAGCTGGGTGACAAGGAGGGGCAGCTCTTGGCTCCGCCCAGGCGGGGGGGAGAGGGTGAGGCAGGGCGGCGAACCCCGAGGTCTCTTTCTGAGCTTGGCACAAGACGCCCTCCTGTCCCGAGAGCCGCGTGCTGCAGGAGCCGGCACGAGGCCGGCTGCGCCTGCTGCCCAAGGGGCTGGGCGGCGGCCACGTCCTGAGCTGACGCCGCCGGAGAGGGTCGGGCGCCGCCCGGCCGCAGGCTCCAGACTGACCGCGCTGATGTTTCCAGGCCACAGTCGAGTCCTGGGTCAAGGACAAGATGCCAAAGAAGTCTGGGCGCTGGTGGTTTTGGCGGAAGCGGGAGAGCATGACCAAGCAGGTAACAGGCAGGCAGCAGGTCCACGGGCTGGGGACGGCCCTCGGTCTCACCCCAAACCTTGTGGGTGCTGGGGCAGGCGCTGTCAGCTGGGCTCCTCTGTGGTGACAGTCACCGTTTCTGAGCAGATGCTGGAGTGGCCATGGCACAATCTGTGCAGTGCCTACTCGGGCTGCCGTGAGCCCCGAGGGGAGGCGCGCCTCACCTCCTGTCTGTGGGGACACGCATCTGGCCGCCGTGTGTGTTTTCGGCTTTGCTCTTGGCTGTTGGGTGGCTGGTACTGGCGTGGCAGTGCATGGCTCTCTCGGATCCTTTCCTGTGGGCCCAGTGGAGGAAGTCTGCTTCCCTGAGTCCCCAGCGTGGGCTGCGGTCCTGCTCCCGAGGGTGCTGGTGGAGGGGCTGAAACATGCCTTTGTCGTCTTTCTCTTCCAGCTGCCAGAGGCCAAGGAGGGGAAGTCGGAGGTGCCTGCGGCCAGCGACCTACCTGCGAGTGCCATGGAGCCGGCCAGCGCCAGGTGGGCGCCCTGCCCCCGGCACCTGCCCTCTCGGCTGTCGCAGCAGTCGGTCTGCTTAGTTGTAGTTGGAGACAGCTTTGTCCTTAGACAGACGGGGTGCTCAGGGGCTTGTCGTGCTGCTCGGCCGATACAGTGAAGTGTGCGTCCCTGCCTCGCGGCCCCTTGCCCCGTCTCAAGGCGTGGGGTCCGTGCTGGCGCCATGGCACTTGTCCCTCGTGTTGAGCAGCCTTGTCCCCAGCAAAGGGGGCATGAAGAAGACCAGGTGGTCAGGTGTGCCGTCATCCCCCTGGGACACGGCGACAGGACAGCAGTTCGTGCTGTCCTGGTCTCTGCCGTCGGTTTCTGTCCCCGTCCAGTTTTCTCTCCTGTGTCACCACACCCCTGCCGCAGTCTCTGGCCCAGGAGTTGACCGTGCAGCACACCCTCCGTGTGAAGGGCTGTGTCTGTAGAAAGTACTTCTCACCAGCTTTTCAGAAAGCAGCACGCGCAGATACTTTCTTTAATTTGTACCTTTTGAAACATCCGTACCCTTGCTAACAGCATTCACCAGCTTGGCAGAAAAGAACGGGTCCAAGCCATTCGTTCCCTCGCTGCACCCCCGTGCAGGGTGGGGTGGGGGCTGTGCGCGGGGGAGCCCGGCCTCGGAAAGGGCTGTGGCCCCCACGAGCGCGCTGCGGGGCTGCACGAGAGGCTCTCCTCAGAGAGGGCTCTGGTGTTCACCAGGCTGACCGAGGACGACACGTCGAGTGACGAGGGCTCCCAGGAGCTGGAGGAGTCCGTCGCCGTGGAGCCGCTGCCTGTGGAGGCCCTGAGCCACGGCAGCAGCCCCTCGTATAAGAAGTCGCTGCGGCTCTCCTCGGAGCAGATCGTGAGTCCCGGGACGCGGGGTCACCGGCCAACTTAATTCTGCGTGCCGCCACCTCTGGTGGCTCCATCCCCACCGCTCAGCCGGATCCCCACCCCGACCGCGGCCTCGGGATCTCTCCGGCCGACCAGCCCCAGCCCAGGACGGCAGGAGAGGAGGCGGGCGTCCCGTATCCCCCTCCCCGTCCTGCCGATGGCGCACTGGTGACCTCGGACCGCAGGGCTCGGGGCAGCGCAGGGTCCTGCTGGGAAGGCGGGCGGGCGGCTGGTGCTGTGGGCTCATGGCGGCCCTGGGGAGGCCATGGCCCGGCGCAGGGGTCGGTCAGGCCAGGCTGCGTGCGGTGGGGGCCCTGGTACTCAGTGGAAACCTATCGCAAAGCGTAGGTTCTCACAGGGCTCCGTGTCCTTACACTTCCCTTCAAAGGCAAAACTGCAGCTCCACGATGGCCCCAATGACGTCGTGTTCAGTATCACCACCCAGTACCAGGGCACGTGCCGCTGCGCGGGGACCATCTACCTGTGGGACTGGAATGACAAGGTTGTCATCTCCGACATCGACGGCACGATAACCAAGTAAGCGCTGGCCCTCGGTGCGGCGGGCGCGGCGGTCTTGGCTGCGGGGAGGTTCGGCAGGCGCTGAGCCCGAGCGGCCCGTGTGCCCAGTCAGTGTAAGGGCCCGGAGAGGGTGGAGCTGTGCCGGCAGCACGGCAGGATGGCTCCGGGTTTGGGCCTTGAAGTAGAGCAAGCTGTAGAGATGAGGGAGAGGAAGCCGGCGGCCGTAGGTCGTCTCCGACAGCAGCGAGTGCCGGCCGGTGCCCCGCGCTGCCTGGCCAGCAGTGCAGGAAGCCCAGCCCTCCCGAGTGCTGCAGCTGGGTCCTGCCACCTGGAAGGCGCTCGGCTTCTGTCTCCTCACCGAGCCTTCCTCTTCTGCCCTCTCCGCAGGTCTGACGCTTTGGGCCAGATTCTCCCGCAGCTGGGTAAAGACTGGACGCACCAGGGCATAGCGAAGCTCTACCACTCCATCAACGAGTAGGTTCCCCCCCACGCGGTGCTCTCGGTCGGCGTGCGCCGTGTGTTCATGACCTAGAGCCCCGCACGCCGCCACTGTGCACCTAAGCAACGTCTGTCCTTGTGAGCTGGAGGCCCCACCCGCTACCTGCGTTGCCCTCAAACTGTGACTCTTCAAGTAAATGTAACAAGTCAATGCACGATTTTGGTTTATTTCCTGGGTAGTTTAAACTTCTGTTTCTTTGAGTAGGTAGTGCAGGCACACGTGGGTAAGAGGCTGCTGGGGGCTGCCTGGGGGCATCCTCGGGGATGACCGCCTGGCCCTGGCCTTCAGGGGACCAGGGTTGATGTGGGCGCCCCTGGGCATGCCTTGGGCAAGCCGTAGTAGAGTGACGAATCCATCAGCCTCCCACATCTGGCTCGTCTCGCTGCGAGCAAGGCCCTGGCGTCTGTCCTGACGGGGACGCTTCCCACCCTGTGGACCCGACTCGGGCTGCGCCAGCCTGAGCCCTGGTCCCACGGTCTGTGTCCCTGAAAGAATCAAATCTGTGGTCCCAGCCGGGTGCCTGCTGAGTTTAGGGTTCACTTTTCACAGTACCCACAAAGAATGGCTCCCATCTGTTGAACGGAAAGGTGTGAGATTTGTTTCCTTTAGCCAGAAGCAGAACCGGGAGCACCAGTGGAACAGCACGAGTTTTCTGTCTCTCACCCAGGAACGGCTACAAGTTCCTGTACTGCTCCGCGCGCGCCATCGGCATGGCTGACATGACCCGCGGCTACCTGCACTGGGTCAATGACAAGGGCACGATTCTGCCTCGGGGCCCCCTCATGCTGTCCCCCAGCAGCCTGTTCTCCGCCTTCCACAGGTGTGTGTGTGTGTCCCGAAGGCTCCCCTTCCCTTGCTGGGCATGGCCAGGCGGGTGGGGTCCCCAGCCAAGGTGGGCGGCACCCCTGGCTCTCGGGTCCCTGAGCCTGAGCTGCCTGGGCGTCTCCTCCCTGGCCCTCAGTCCCAGTGATGGCCGAGAAGAGGAGGGGCCGCTCTCCCGGGCAGGCAGTGCAGGAGCTCGAGGGCGGAGCTGACATGTTGCGATCGGTGACTTCTTTCTTAGGGAAGTGATAGAGAAGAAACCTGAGAAGTTCAAAATCGAGTGTCTGAATGACATCAAGAACCTGTTCGCCCCGTCCAAACAGCCCTTCTACGCCGCCTTCGGGAACCGGCCCAATGTAAGCGTCCTGGCCTGACGGGGGTCTCCCCACTGCAGGCAGAGGTGCCCTGCACACTTTGCTGTCGCCAGCCCCTGGGGAAGCCCCAAGGTCAGATCTGCCCCGGAACTACGTGCCAGGGGCGCTCTCTGTGTGCTGACACTTCATTCCATTTGCCAGGCAGCTTTGCCTCACAGGTGTTTGCTTCATGGTAGCGACGATCGAACCCAGAGCCTTTGCACGGAGCTCCGTCCTCTGCCCTTCTTGTTACTTTTCATTTTGAGACAAGGTCTCTCTACATTGCCCAACCAGGGCTCGAGTTAGCAATTCTCCTGCCTCAGCCTCCCAAAGTGCTGAGGTCCTGTACCTCCATGCCTGGCTCCACCCCAAGTTCCACGCTGTGGCATTGGCGCACCCTAAAGCCAGGCTGGAGCACTTCATGGCCCCTCCCACCCTGCGGGGCTGGCACATGGACAGCGCCCCTCCGGCTCGTGTGCCGGCCGGCTTCTCTCTGGCTGCTAGCTCCCCACAGCCCTGCAGGCTGGCTTTGTCTGCAGCTCGGTCATCGGCAGAAGTGCTCGTCCCCAGGCCCCGTTTCCCGGGGGGTCTCCATCTGCCCCGTGCGGCTTCTCACTTCTGCGCCTCCTGCAGGACGTCTACGCGTACACACAGGTGGGGGTCCCCGACTGCAGGATCTTCACCGTGAACCCCAAGGGAGAGCTGATCCAGGAACGGACCAAAGGGAACAAGTCCTCGTAAGTGCAGCGGGGTGCCCCTCAGGAGGTTGGGTGTGTGTTGCTCTGCGCAGCTGCTGGAGGGACCCGAAAGGTTTTGTGAGGCACTGCAGTCCCACCCTGCCCGGCAGGGAGGATAACCGCCCGTCCCCCCAGGTACCACAGGCTCAGTGAGCTGGTGGAGCACGTGTTCCCGCTGCTCAGCAAGGAGCAGAACTCCGCCTTCCCGTGTCCGGAGTTCAGCTCCTTCTGCTACTGGAGGGACCCCATCCCCACCGCAGACCTGGACGACCTGGCCTGAGGCCTGGCTGACAGCTGCCCACCGTCTCCGGGACCGGCCTTCGGCCTTCCTGCCCTCCCCTGCCCTGCCAGGCCGCCCGGCACCCTGTGCCAGGGGAGGAGGAGGGCGGGCTTACCGCGCCCCCCGAGCTGCAGAACTGAACAGGAAGGCAGAGGAGCCTGTGTGGACCAGACACAGCTCGGGTGTGGGCGGCCCGTGGGTGTCAGTCCGGAACTGCGCGAGGCGGGACTGCTCTCCCCTAGCCTGGGCGCCAGGTCCTGGTGGCGCTCACTCCTCTGCTCTGCGCCCGCTCCGGGGTGAGAGTGCTTCTCAGACTGCGCCTGTGGGGCAGATGTGCGTGGGAAGCCAGGGCAGAACCTAGGGAGAGCAGCTGTGGCACCCACAGGCCCCGGGAGGCATGGCCTTTGTCCTCCCTCCCTGCTGGGTCCTGGCGAGGTGGCCCTCAGGTCTCACCTGGGGGCAGGATGTGTGATCCTCTGTGCTTCAGGTTTGTGGCCAGTGGCCAGCAGCACCAGGTCTGCACTGGGGTCACGTGGGAGCCCTGAGCGGTCACTGTAGCCCCCTGGCCGGGCCGTGACAAGCTCGCGTCTCACGAAGGCCTGGGGGGAGCAGCCCCTGCGGCCTCGGCTGCCCCGATCCTGAGCAACCGCTGCCGAGGGAGACCCCACAGTGTGGCCCGGACCACGGTGTTCCTGCGGCGCCTTTGTTGGCGTTTTTGCCTGGATAGTTGTTCCCTTTCCCGACAAGCGCCTCTCCTCGTCTGGGGACTGGACGCCTGTCCCCGGGTCCCCAGCCCCGACCTGGTGGCGCCCGTCAGTGGGGCGCGGGCTGGTGGCAGACGCTCACCAGTGCTGTGGTGTGGAGACCTCGTCTGTGCTGGAGCCGTTGCCATTTGGTACAAATGACATTTGTTCTTTCTGTGAAAGAGACGCCCCGCCTCCACGTATTTGCACACAAGCCTCCACCGCGAGTCCGGGCCATCTCCGCTGTCTTCCAGCTAGGGCCCCCTGCTGGAGGGGCTCCCCTCCCTCCTCCACGTCCGCCTGACTGTAGACGTCGCCCTGGCATCCAGCGCCAGCCCAGGCGGTACTGTCAAACCCATCGCGTCGGGTTGGCTGCAGATGCCCGTGGGGCTGAGTCCCCAGCTGCTCCCCCAGGGCAGGGCGGAGAGCACGCCCCGCGCCGCCGCCGGTGCCATCTGTGGGCGCCCAGTGGGACGGTTAGGGATGTGGCGCCGGCTCTCTGGTGCCACCCTCACCTGGGAGCCCTGCTCTCCCGTGTGAGAGCTTCTGGGGTTTCATTTAAAACTGGTTAAAATTGGTAAACGTAAGTGTTCTTTCCAGGCAAGAGAGACTTTTTTGGTGTGGTCTGAAGGTAGAGGGGAGACAACACTCTCCATCCCGTAACTCCACGCAGCGATGATGAAGTATTGATTACTGGGCAGTGTCACTAATAGTTGTCCGAAGTTAATCGTAAACATCAGTACAGTGCTCTTAGCTGTGGTAAAGACGTCTTCAGATAAATGGCTCATATTTTGGTGCAGTGTTTGATGTTCAAGACAAAATGTTACAACAATAAACAAGCATAAAACCACATGGGCGCAGCTCTTCCTTCAGGGGATATTCAAACCATCTTCCGTGTGTGCTGGCCAGGGAGCAGTGATTTCCATAAATTAGCATTCTGACCTTTGCTGCCTAAACTCATCCGTGGCAAGGACTTCCTGGTGCTTATTTTGAAAGCCGGTTCCAGAGCCTGGGTCTACCTGGAGGAACTGACCCCTGGCTCCAGGTTGGTGGGGAAGTGATGGGGCGCTGGTGCCTGGGAAGCCCCTGCCTGAGGGGCTGCGGCCACCCCGCCCCCCCGGGGTCCCCGGGGTCCTGTCAGGCCCCCTCAGCTGTGTTCATGCGAGCCAGTGGCTCTGTGGCCCAAACACACGTCCACAGACCGGGCAGCGTGTGCTGCGCTCGTGGGGGAGGCTTTGCGAGGGCAAGGTGCCAGAGACCCGGAGTCCGCTTGGGGGTGCCTGGCTGTGCGCTGGGCTGCAGCGGAGGCTCCCGGGCAGGGACCCTGCTTGCGAGGAAGTGGACTTGACCCGAAGGGCTCGGCGCCCTGGAAGGGCTGCGGGTGCCGCCTGGGCCCTGGCGCTGTCTCCACGGCACCTGTGACTTCGCGCCCCCCTTCCCCGGGTGGGGCCTGCGGGGACAGCGTGCTCAGACCGGCGGGCAGGGCCGTGGGTGCCTGTGATGCCAACACCCCTTGGCTTTCAAGCTGCAGATAACTCAGGGGCCACCGTCTGCGGGAGGCGGCCGCGGGAGGAGCCCTGACGTGCACACCCGGAAGTCATGGCAGCCCCCGCGCAGTCTGCGCTCCTTCCTGCAGCTATCGCTTAGCGTTGTTTTCCTGTCTGCGCGAGGCCGGGGGCAGCGCTCCATGTGGGAAGTGGGCGTCAGCCTGCCGGGGCTGTCCTCCACCCGCCCTGACCTCCTGCTAGCCACAACACCCGTAGCTCAGGCGGGCACACGGAGGCGCCTGCACCCTCGGCTCATCCGGTTCAACCCTAGCCTTGCAAAATTGGAAGGCCCCGCGGAGGAGGACCACAGTGCCCTTGCTCTGGGACGCTCCTGGAGGAGGAGACTGCTGTGCCGCCCTGCTCCCTGGCAGTCCAGCCCTTGAGCGTTTGTCCTCCTTGGCACGGGGCAGAGGGCGAAGGCCTGCGTGTGCCAACTGGGCTTTCCTGAAAACTGCTGCCCGAGTTTTTCCATGAGTCACTTCTAGGGCAGCCAGGGACACCGCAGCGACCTCTAGCAGTTCCTAGCCGCAGACGCCAGGGCAAGAAGGCCGTTGCCTCAGCCGCTCTTGGACCAGGAGGCTGAGCTTTAGAACCGTCCAGCAGCAAACCTGAGTCCTGTCACTCCCCCTCAAGTGCTAAGAGGCCTGCGATTCCCTTCGCCTGGAGACAAAGGCCCCCCTGCCGGGCCCGCACCCATGCCCCCACGGGCCTCTGCAGGCTTTCCTTCTCGCCACGCCCGCAGGCCCTTCGCTTCCCAGCCCGCCTTCCAGCCCTGTCTGGAAGGGCCCCTGTGCGGGCTCCAGGGCCGTGCCCGCTGCCTCGGCCTGGAGCTGTTTCCAGCCAGGGTCCTGCACCTCGAGCCTCTTGTTGCTTAGGAACCTGAGTCCACAGAGCTGCGTCTCCCAGCGCTCTGCAGCAGAGCAGGCAGCCCGCGGGCTCGTTAGCCGGGAGGCAGCCGGATCAGATCTGCGTTCACAGCCGCCTGGGCCACGGCCTGCAGAGCCTGACCACCAGGCACATCTGGTCTCACTTCAGCCAAAACAGCTGGATGCAAACTGAGTTTTACAGTCAAGGTTAGTTTACGCAAGAGCGCTTTCTGCAGCCCTAACAGAAGTCACTCCCCAGCCCTAAGGAACCAGGCGAAAAGAAGGAAGTGGTTTATGTCTTTATTGACACTCCCAGGCTCCGTGCTGGGATCGCACTCATCCCGGAGCCCAACAAGCTCAACCATCCAGTCTCTGCTGCCCTCGCAGGACCCACGCCCCACCTGAGGAGCCCACACTGGACACTCGGGTACTGGGGCCGGGGTCTTCAGTGTTTGGACTTTCCTCCTGCAATGTCGCTGTCGGGAGGGCCGGGCATGGTGTCCTGCAGCCGCCGCCCGCCCCATCACAGGGGCCAGGATGTCCGGCAGGGAGCCGGGGGTGGAGGCGGAGGCAGGGGCGAGGCCAGGGAGGAAGAAGGAGGCGAGGGGGCTCCCCTGGCCTTCCTGTCATCCAGTCCAGTGACCCCAGGAGCGGCCACAGGGCTGCCCACCCCCCTGGGGCCGCGGCACGGGGGAGGCAGGCCCTCAACCCGCGCTCCAGCCGTACACTGCCCGAATATACGAAGGTCGGAGTCCTGGGCACCGGCATCTAGAGGTGGCCGAGGAAGGGGTACAGGAAAACCCCGCTGAAGGTGGAATACATCTCGTCGAAGTCCGTGTGTGCCAGCCGGCCACCCGTCACCACCACGTTGACACCGTCGCCCGCCTTGAGGTGCACGACCAGGTGGAAGGCGCCGGGCCCCCCGCAGGTGTGCGCGGCCCCGGGCGGGCGGTGGAACTCCAGGAGCTCCCGCCGGTACCCGGCCGTGTGCAGCTGCGCCACGCTGGCGTTGGCCACCGACAGGACGGCCTCCACGTAGGCGTCGCGCTCGGGGGTGAGCGTGGCCGTGATCAGGTAGCGCCCGTCGTACGGGGCCGTGAAGACACCTGGGGAGCGGGGGCAGTGAGCTCGCAGCGCGGCTCCCGCTCAGCTGCCCAGGACCGGCCGCGCCGGCCGCCTCTGCGCTCAGCCCTGCCAGGCGCGGGCCAAGGGAGGCTGCCGGCCTGTCAGCCCCGCTCTGTCACTGAACGTGCCCCTCCGGGCCCCGCCACCGGCTGCTTTACATCTCAGATCTGGAACTGAGCCCTCATCTACAGCCGCGCAGGGGCCTCGGGAACCCGGCCCGGACGCTGGGAGGCGCACAGCTCAGGCTCCTGGTCGGAGCCCCGATGCCACTCCGTGGGGAGCACCCCCGGTCCCCCTGAGGAAGCCCCTGAGCACAGAGCTCGGCCCCTAGCCCGGGGGAACCCGCCCTGGCCCGTGTCTGGCTGGAGGAGGTGGTGGCGGCTCTGCGGGGCTGCGCCGGTCTGGACCAGAAGGGAGGCCGTTCAGCAAGCCCCGGGGCGGGGGGGGCCCACTGGGACAAACCGCGTGTCACACCGAGGACACGGGGACCGGCTGGGCTTTGGGTGACTAGGAGGCGGAGCAGGCAGTGACTCCAGCGCCCAGTGACGCCGTGGCTGTCAGGTCCAGGGCCCGCACGTGTGGCAGGGCCTGCGCACGGCCGCTGGGACGTCCCATGCGGTGCCCTGGCCCCGGCCGTGCTCGGGGACCGCGTGCCCTCAAGGCAGCAGACGAAAGCCGGGCTGCAGCAGGGACCCAGGCTGCAGAAGGGAACCTCCATGACACGGGGAGCCAGAGCCGCTCCGCGAAGCCGAAGGCAGCTCTGGTCTCGGGGCCCGTGTCCTGGCTGTGACCCGGGACAGTGAGGGGGCGGGGAAGGCCGCACGAGGCCACACGCGGCACTCACCGGTGTCGGGGTTGTAGACGTCCCCGTCGTTCACCAGCACCTTGTTAAACAGGACGACACCCCCGTCGCTGGGGAACGGCTTCTGGGTGAGTCCGGCTGAGAATGACACCAGGCCAGGCACCAGGAGCCCTGGGGGGAGCGGGCACAGGGGGAGGCCGTTTAGCAGGCTGGGGTGGGGAGCCCTACTGGGACAAACCGTGTCACGCCCAGGGGACGCGGGAACCGGCCAGGCTTCGGGTGACTAAGAGGCCAGGCTGGGCCTGGTGACCCACACCTGTAAGCCCAGCTCTCCGGAGGCTGAGGCAGAAGGATCACAAGTTCAGGGCCAGCCTGGGCTACATAGTGAGACCCTGTCTCAAAAAAAAAAAAAAAAGAGGCTAGGTGTGGGTGTGACACTGGCTGCTGTCACCTGGGGGAGCCCCGGGTCCTAGGACCACACAGTCTGGCCACCCAGCGATGCCAGGACGCTGGGAGCTGGGGTAATGGAGGCAGGAGCCCCCTGTCCTTGCCCATCCACCGCCCGGGTCCCACCGTGTGTACCTGGGGCAGCTGCGGGCGGCGTGTGGGGGTACCCTGGAAAGAGAGGGGTGTCAGCGGTGTCCATCCGGGATGGCAGCTCAGCCTGGGCGACGAAGGCAGCAGACACAGCACGGCTCAGGCGGGGAGGGGCCCGGCGCCCCCAGGGCAGGGCAGCGGAGGGCAAGGGCTAGCTTCGAAAAGGCAGCTGTAACCCCAGCCCCATAGGAGGCTGAGGCAGGAGGATCACACGTTCAAGCCCAGCATGGACAATCTAGTGATTTACCAGAGACCCTGGCCCAAAGTAAAAGCTAAAGGGCTGGGGCTGTCGCTCCGTACGAAGGCCCTGAGTTCATCCTCGGGATGATCAAAAATTACAAAATTAAAAAGCTGGCGAGGGACCTTTGTGCCACTGTCCTGGTCTCCGCCGGGACGCGGCTGGCCAGGCAGCCCTGTGCATCCATCTAGGACACACCAGGTGCCACAGGGAGGGGCTGCACCCCACCCTGCGTGACCTGGTGCCCCAGCGGGGTGCCACACCGCCTCGGCCCGAAGAAGCTGATGCGACCCGGCCCTGGCAGGACGTCTGTCCCACGCCCCGGCCCCGAGCCCCGAGCCCCGAGCCCCGCGGTTTCCTCGCAAGGCCTGCCAGTGGGGGGCGCTGCCCCAGCACACCGGTTTGGTCCGGGTTCACGCACGGCTGCCCCTGCCAGGCTCTGCGGCGGTCACCGCAGCGCGGGCCGGCACTGCCTCTGAGCTCCCGGGGAGCCCGGCCCGCCGCCCTGGGCCCCGTCCTCGCTGTACCCCACCCCGCGACCGCCCTGAGTGCCGGGTCAGGCCTCAGCCGCACAGGTGCCGGCAGCTTGGTGGCGGGTCCCTGCTGGCCTGCGGCGCCCTCGCGGACCACAGCCCGGGCGTCCCCGCCCCTTCCCGCCAGAAGGCCCTGACGCGCTGTCCCCAGCGCCAGCCGCTGCTGGACCCGCATCCCAGCACCCCGGGAGCCCCCTTTCTGAACCTGTGCCCCCCAATGGCCCCAGACCGTCCCCCGCTCGCTTACCTGGGGCGCCCGCGTAGCCCTCGGCGCTGGGCTCGGGCCGGAGCCCGCTCTGCCCGTCCACGCCCCGCGGGAGGCCCTTGCCCGACACGCCCTTCCCGCCCGGGGGCCCGGCCTCGCCCGTCTCCATCACGACCCCTGTGGCGCCCGGCAGCGGGCGAGGCCCCATCCAGCTGGGGTGAAGAGCAGGGGGCGGCGGGGGCCGCTTGGGGAGCACCGGCCGCTGGTCCGGGGCCCGCTCGCTTGCGGCGTCCTCGGGTGGCGCAGGGCTCGGCTCAGGCTGGGGCAACGCAGTAGAGGCGGCAGCTGGCACCGGGGGGGCCTCGGAGATGGGGGGCGCTGCAGAGGGCTCCTCAGCTGGGCAGAGGAAGCAGAGACACACAGGGTTAGCGGGCGCGCAGGGTCCCCGCCGTCCGCGCCTCGGTGACCCGTGAGCTGGGGTGGAAGTCACCCGCCAGAGGCCGGGCCGCTGTCCGCTGGGGCACAGCGTGGGCAGCCCGCCCCGAGTCTTCCGAAGAGGTCACCCAGAAGACTTCAGCCTCTCCTGCATCGAGGGCTGGGCTCCCCAAACAGCCCCTGCACAGCCCCAGCACCCCAGATTCCCGGTGGCACTGACATCCGCACCACGGCTGCATCACACAAGACTCGGGCACGGGGGCCGCGGCCACCTGCAGCTTCTGAGCGGCCCGCGTGGGACAGCTCGGGACAGCAGGGCTGCGTGGCCAGCCGCGTCCCTGCGGAGACCAGGACAGTGGGAGACGCACGCGCAGGGCGGGAGCCCAGGCTGCCTTCAGAGCTGGCACGGACCCAGCGGGCAGCGGCTCCCGGGCCTCCCACGCCCCTCGTGCCAGCAGTGACACGGGACCCTCCGCGCCCACCACTGCCCCACTGCTTGCCCACGCTGGCCGGAAGCTGCCACCCGAGGCCTCTGTGCCCTCCCAGGACAGCCTGCCAGCACCTCTCTGGTGGCCATGGCCTCTGGGACCCCTGGGCGCAGCCTGGGCCCTGCAAGGCACAGAACGCGCCCCACCCTGCGCATGCACCACGGCAAGACGCCGCCAGCAGGACCACAGGGTGGCATCGCGGCCACGCCTCGATCTCACCTGCTCAGGGCGACCACGGCATCCTGCCAGCTCCCCTTCACAGCCGGGCCCAGAGGGTGGCGGGGCCTACGGCCGGGGCCCTAACTCCTGCCCGCTGTGGATTGGACACCCTGATTGTGCCATCCTGGGTCCTTCCCAGCATGCAAAGGTGCTCAGGAGGACCCAGTCCTCAGCACCCAGGCTGGCAGTTACAGCAAAGATGATGAGCTAAACTGCTGCGGTGCCCAGCGCCCTGAGGCTGTGTGGTAGCACCCCCTGTCATCTCAACGCTCAGGAAGCTGAGGCAGGAGGACTGCCACAAGTTTGAGGCCAGCCTAGGCTACACAGTGAGACCCTGTCCCAAAAATGCAAGCAAGCAAACAAAAAAAAGCCTGTGCGGCATCTGCTCATCCAAACTGTGTCCAGAGCTGGCATGAACAGCCAGCGCCAGCTCGCCAGCGCGAGGCAGCTGAGCATCCCAGCCACCCCAAGGCCGCTCTGCCAGGACCGTGTGTCCTGTGTGCCACCGGCTCCTGTGCCCTGCTGTGCTGGGCTGCAGCCGGGAAGTGGGCTTCCGGCAGCAGCCTGGGGCCGGGCCAGGTGGCACCCTGAACCTGGCACCTGACCGCCGTGGTGTCTGACCTGGGCCCAGAGCAAGCTGAGACCGAAGCACTGCCTGGCACCCTGCAGGTCTCGTTTGGGCAGAGTGCGGGCCCGGGCGCTTCCCGCTGTCCTGACGTCCGTGGCTCCCGTAGCCACCCTGCACCACCTGAGGAAGTAGGGTGCCGGGCAGGGCTGGGGCCCCACCGTGCAGGGTAACCACCCCGTGCGGGTCCCCACAGACAGCCCTGGCCGGACAGACCTGGAGGGGGCTCCTCTGTCCACACACCGCGCCGCAGGTGTCGGCCCGGGCTCCCGGCCCTGCGCTGGGCTGGGTCCTCCCAGTGAGCGAGCTCTACACCTGCCCCCAGCTCCTGCGCGTGCCGCTGTGGGGACACAAAGGCCACCACCATCCGGGTCCAAGGCACAGGGAAGCAGAGACCCTTGTGGCCCAGCAGGAGTAAGTTCAAAGCCAGGCTGTGGCAGGGGGCGGCGGGCCGGAGGCAGCGCCTGGGCCTTTGCAAGCTTCTGTAAAACCCTGCCGGCAAGAGGCCCCAGGCCCACTGACTCCGGGTGGGTGGCCTAGGCCGGCGGCGGGGCGCCACCCTTCACTGCAGCGCCTGCACCCTCTCCGCCCGGCTCAGCCTAGCTGGCGTGATGAGAGCAGATGCTCACAGCTGCACTGCTCCTAAATGGAACGGCGTGGCAGATGGCCGTGGGCCTGCGATCCCCGCACTCAAGAGGCTGAGGCAGGAGGGTCGCTGCGTGTTCAAGGCCAGCCTGAGCTACATAGTGAGACCCTGTCTCAAAAAAAAAAAAAAGAAACAGAAAGACCTGATGAGCAGAGCTGCGGCCCTGGGAGGAGGCTCCCGAGGAGGCCAGAAAGGGAAGTGGGAGAGGGAAAGGGAAGTCGTGTAGGGGGCCAGCGGATCCTGAGACGCTGCTGCGGCTTCACAGCAGGGCTGGCCCTTCCTGGAAGCATGACGTGGGAGAGACCTCTGTGGCCGCAGCAGCGCCGCTCTGCCACCCTCCTTCCCAACGCCAGCGCCCCCTCACCCCGCCGCGGGGTCCCAGCGTCAGGCCAGGCACGGCCATGGCGGGCTCCATGCCAGGGATGACGCTGGCGTCACCACCTCGGGAAGCATGCAGGCTTGGCAGTGACTGCGCCCACGGCCACGGCCAAGGACCCCGGAGCCCCGGCCCTCGCAGCCTGGGCCCAGCACCACAGCTGACCCAGGTCCCAGTGCCAGCCACCTCCCGGCCCCCTTCTATTTATTTCTTTATTTCTACATTGAGTCTCACTCAGTTCCCTGGGCTGGACTTAAACTTGGGATCCTCCTGCCTCATCTGAGGGTCTCACTCAGTTCCCTGGGCTGGACTTAAACTTGGGATCCTCCTGCCTCATCTGAGGGATTTGTGCCTGACGTTGTGGATGCTGGAAGAACAGATTTTTAGGCCTTGGATGCTTCCTAACTGGCCCCTGACTCAGAAAAGAACAAGAGCCAGCCATGTGGCATACGCCTGTGATCCCAGCACTCAGGAGGCTGAGGCAGGAGGATTGCTGTGAGTTTGAGGCCAGCCTGAACTGAATAACGAGACCCTGTCTCAAAAATAGAAAAGAGAAAGGAAAATTCTGAAAAGGACGAGAAAGGGGCGGAAGACCCTGTGGCTGTCTGCGCCTTCCGCAGCAGCCCCGCCTCGCCCACAGGGTCAGCCAGGAGCAGGCCGGGCACCCTCAAAAGGGCACAGGGTCGTGAACAGGCAGGGCTGAGGGCGCTCACGTGTGCCAGCACGTGCTCCCACACCACTGCTCACACCTGTAGCTCCTGCTCTGGCTTCTCAGGGCGGGTGTCACGGTGACTTCTAACTCACAGAGGAGGAGGGCGGCGCAGGAGCTGGGATTTCAAACCTGAGAAGGCAGCCTCATCTCTGGCTCAGAATCACCCCGCAGGTTCCCACGGTGTCAAAACCCAAGTCCTTCACACCCACCACGAGTCCGCACCACCTGCTTCCCACCCGCTCCTGACCTCGCTGCCTAGGACTGCCAGGGGCTCGTGCTCAGCCGCAGCATGGCTGAGATGTTCAGGAGCAAACACACCCTGCCCCAGGGCCTTTGCATACACTGCCAAGCCATTTCCACACACAGACCCCGCAGGGTCGGAGGCATGAGCACATTTGGGTCTCCAGTCACCCGTCACCCCGCTCAGGGTCAGGGACTCCCCATTCCTGCACCTGGCTCTGGTTCATCTTCCCCCCACAGGAGCTAGAGTGGGAGAGCAACAGGATGACCCAGTGCTCTCCACCAAGCACCCTTCCGGGTCCCAGTCCACAGTCCTTCTGTCCAAAGAGACACCTAATCCCAGCGTTGAGGAGGCTGAGGCAGGAGGATTGCTGCTAGCTCAAGCCCAGCCTGGGTTATACAGCGAGACCCTGTCTTAAAAATCAAAATGGAAAAAGAATGGAAAGAACTGGCCCTTGCCGCCCGCTGTGCCTCTCCCCGGGGCCCCGCTCGCCGAGACCACGCTGTCTGTCCTCAGTGACGAGGACACCGTCACAGCATCCCAGCCCTGCTCCACACCCCCATGGCCTGGGCCACAGTCAGCACCCAGCGAGTGTCCTGTCCAGTCTGCACTGGCAGACGTGACTCTCCCTGTGACGTCGGTTCCAGGACCCCTAGGAGCTGAGACTCAGCTCTCCTTGGCCAGGGCCGCCAGGGGCTGCAGACGCTCTGCTTGTGTTGTCGTGTTTTGGGTTTTGTTTTTGCACAGGGTCTCACTACAAAATTCAGGGTGGCCTTGACTCGCTATGTAGCCCAGGCTGGCCCGGAACTCAGGCTGATCCTCCTGCCTCAGCCTCCCAAGTGTTGGGATTACAGGTGTGCGCCACCACGCCCGGCTCTGCTAGTTTCTACCTGCCTCTTCTCAGTCCCTGCAATTCCCCAGAAGTCTGTGTGTTCCCATCGCCACGTCCAGCCCCAACGCCGAGTCCGGAGGCCACACCCTCCCCCACACCACCCACTTCCGGGTCCTGCCGCGAATCGCAGCATCCAGGCACCTCTGGATCTCTAGGGACAGTGGCTGTGACCTCTGCTCACATTCCAGAGCCCAGAACAGAGTCCACCACGTGACCCCTTCCACAGCACGCCCTGGAGACAGCTTCCCCGGCGACCAGGGACCCCGCCTGTGCGTAGTCAGGCGCACACACACACACACACACACACACACACTGGCCGCGAGGTCTCTGCCCAGGGTGTGCAGAGCTGGGTCACCTGAACAAGCAAGGTCCGAGGGGACAAGAGGAGGGAAAGTGAAGAGAGAGGAGCACAGGGAGGCTGAGGCAGGACGATCGCTGTAAGTGTGAAGCCAGCCTGGGCGACACAGCGAGACCCTATCTCAAAAAAACAAAAACAAAAACAAAAAACAGAAAAGAAAAAGTGGCAGAAGTGTCCAGCTCAGCTTACCTGCTGGTGGCGGAAACGTGACCAGGTCCTGCAGGTCAGAGGAGACCTGGAAGACGTGGCTGTAGAACTGCTGCACGGCGCTCCTCAGGCCGGAGAGGTCTCTGGAGTGCGCCCTGAGCGTGCCGTTCATCTGCCGGACGCAGGCCCACAGCCCGGCCACGTGCCTGCCGAGCCCCTCCCTGATGCTCTGCAGGCTGCCCGCCACCGAGTCCAGCCTGCCGCACGTCCGCTCCAGCAGGGACACCCGGGCCTCGACCGCGGCCACCGCCGCCTGCGCC